TTTTCAATTCTCAGGAATGATTTCCTACAATTTACTTAAGTTAAGAGACAAAGTCAATGTCAACTTGTATCTTCTCAATTCCCAGGAATGCTTTCCTACAATTTACTTTCAAATATTCTCATGAAAACACAGACTTTATAAAGGTAGTGTGGAACTTATGATTATACTGCCTACTTCTGCATGGTGGTAATCAGGCAAGCACCATGACACCATTCCCACCTCATCTGATGGACTTTATCTGACTGTGTCAGAGTTAGGACTATGTGTGTCCCTGGATAGGTACTAGTGGCTTTGGTGTGTGGCAGTGGCCCCTCATGGTCCCTCCATGGTATAGGAGATCCAGGGATATGACTCTTCCACCAGACAGATGGTCCCTCCCAGCTCTTCTGTGGACCCCACATGTCTGCCTCATCTCATTCAGCTCTGCAAACAGGGGAGAAATTATTTTCAATAAACCCAGAGAGGAAGGCCTTGTTGGGATTTCTTTCTTTTCTTTTCAAATATAGTGGCTGAAGTCTCCATTCTTGAGATTTCTTTGGAATCCTTTTATAAGAATTGAGGATCATTTTGGTGATGAAAATAAAATCTTCATGGCATGAAGGTCATGATGGAAAGTACAATCAGCCAGATGCAGAAACACAACTGTGATGTGGTTCTTTACATGTGTGGAAGACAGAAAAATCCATGGGGGGCTGGAAGTGGAAGAGGGACTCTAGTAGCCCTAAAAAGAAGCTTGCAGAGGGGTTAGAGAAGGAAGGAGGGAGGGTAGAAACAGCACGGGTGGGTAGGATCCTACTAATTTGTACAATTAACATGCATTAACAATTACAATTAGAGGCCACAGAAAGTGGTTGACCTGTAACATGGACATTTGCATAAGTATACCCTGTAATGCTTGTACAAAAATGAAATCAAAGTCAGTCAATGGTGCAGTTCTCATAATATGTCCCCATCTCTAAGTGATTCATGATTATTTTACTTTGATTTTTGTTTATACTTATAAATGAATTTGTTTATTTCTTTAGTTTTCTTTTTTTATTTTATAATTTAATTTAATTTTACATATCAGCCACAGATTCCCTTGCTCTCCCCCCCTTCCCCCCAGCCCACCCCCCATTCCCATCTCCTCCAGGGCAAAGACTCCCCTCAGGATTGAGTTCAACCTGGTAAATTCAGTCCAGGCAGGTCCAGTCCCCTCCTCCCAGGCTGAGCCAAGTGTCCCTGTATAAGCCCCAGGTTCCAAACAACCAGCTCATGCACTGAGGACAGGTCAGTCCCACTGCCTGGATGCCTCCCAAACAGATCAAGCTAATCAACTGTCTCACTTATCCAGAGGGCCTGATCTAGTTGGGGGCTCCTCAGCTATTGGTTCATAGTTCGTGTGTTTCCATTTGTTTGACTATTTGTCCCTGTGCTTTATCCAACCTTGGTCTCAACAATTCTTGCTCATACAAACCCTCCTCTTTCTCACCAATTGGACTTCTGGAGCTCCACCTGGGGCCTGGCTGTGGATCTCTGCATCCGTTCCCTCAGTCATTGGATAAGGTTTCTAGCACGGCAATTAGGGTGTTTGACCATCCTATCACCAGAGTAGGTCAGTTCGGATTTTCTCTCGACCATTGCCAGTAGTCTATTGTGGGGGTATCTTTGTGGATTTCTGTGGGCCTCTCTAGCACTTTGCTTCTTCCTATTCCCATGTGGTCTTCATTTACCATGGTCTCCTATTCCTTGTTCTCCCTCTCTGTTCTTGATCCAGCTGGGATCTCCTGCTCCCCTAAACTCTCTTTCCCTCGACCCTTGCCCTTCATTACCCCCACTCACATCCATGTTGTTCATGTAGATCTCATCCATTTCTCTATAATTGGGTGATCCCTGTGTCTTTCTTGTGGTCCTGTTTTCTAGGAAGCCTCCCTGGAGTTGTGAGTAGCAGTCTAGTCATCTTTGTTTTACCTCTAGTATCCTCCTATGAGTGAGTACATACCATGTTTGTCTTTCTGAGTCTGGGTTACCTCACTCAGGATGATTTTTCCTAGATCCATCCATTTGCCTGCAAACCTCATGATGTCATTGTTTTTCTCTGCTGAGTAGTATTCCATTGTGTATATGGACCACATTTTATTTATCCATTCTTCAGTTGAAGGGCATCTAGGTTGTTTCCATGTTCTGGCTATTACAAACAATGCTGATATGAACATAGCTGAGCAAGTGCCCTTGTGGTATGATTGAGCATTCCTTGGGAATATGCCCAAGAGTGGTATAGCTGGATCTTGGGGGAGATTGATTCCCAGTTTTCTAAGAAAGCGTCATATTGATTTCCAAAGTGGTTTACAAGCTTGCATTCCCACCAGCAGTGGAGGAGAGTTCCCCTAGCTCCACATCCTCTCCAGCATAAGCTGTCTTCAGTGTTTTTGATCTTAGCCATTCTGACAGGTGTAAGGTGGTATCTCAGAGCCATTTTGATTTGCATTTCCCTGATGATTAGGGATGTTGAGCAATTCCTTAAATGTCTTTCAGCCATTTGAGCTTCCTCTGTTGGGAATTCTCTGTTTAGTTCTATAGCCCATTTCTTAATTAGACTGTTGGGCATTTTGATGTCTAATTTCTTGAGTTCCTTATATATTCTCGATATCAGTCCTCTGTCAGATGTGGGGTTGGTGAAGACCTTTTCCCATTCTGTAGGCTGTGGCTTTGCCTTGTTGACCGTATCCTTTGCTCTACAAAAACCTCTTGTCCCTTTTTGGAGAACAGCTGAGACATAGTGTGGTCAGCACCATATGGGGTTCACTAAGGGAGTCTTTGGGGGAGGGACTGGCAATATAGCTCAGTGATAGCATGTGGAGGTGATGGGTTATCCTACAAAACAAAACAAAACAAAACAAAACAAAACAAAACAAAACAAAAGCCTCCAACCAAAGGACAAAACCACAACCCATAAATAAAACCAACCAACCAAAAAATCTGTTGCAAAATGGTTAATATCTGTAAATCTATCTTTAGGCATGCATTGCCTAGTTCCTTGAAAGCTCATAAGGATATTTTTCTGTGCTCATAATTATTAAAATGGCCCTGTTTCATTTTGTTTTGTCACTTGGCAATGAGTCTAGCTATATTCCCCAGGCTGGTTTCTTGGCCTCAAGATACTCTCCTACCTCAGCCTCCCACATAAGTGAGAGTATAATACTGTGCCACTATGCCTGGCTGCCTTACTAATTCTTTTATGTGGCTGGATTGAGTGCATTTTATGTTTTTACCAATCTCTTTGTCTCTCAGTATAGGCTTAGATCCTTTCCTCTTTTGCCCGTACAAAGAGGTTTGTTAGGACTCAATTTTCCAAGATGTAGTTTTATATATTTTTAGTGCTTGTAAACATTTCTAAGTTGTTCTCTGTAAATCAAGCTCATACCAGCAACAAATGAGAATTCACTTTCTGCCCACCCTCTTACACACAGTTTAAAAATATTTTATTTTATCTTATTTCATTTTATTTTTATTTTGCAATACAATTCAGTTCTACATATCAGCCACGGATTCCCTTGTTCTCCCGCTCCCGCCTCCCTCACCTTCCCCCCAGCCCACCCCCCATTCCCACCTCCTCCAGGGCAAAGCCTCCCCCACAGACTGAGATCAACCTGGTAGACTCAGTCCAGGCAGGTCCAGTCCCCTCCTCCCAGACACACACACACACACACACACACACACACACACACACACACACACACACACATTTATGTTTCAAAAAACTTCCCCTGTAGTACCCCTCCACTGCTGGTGGGAGTGCAAACTTGTACAGCCACTTTGGAAATCATTATGGCAGCTTCTCAGATAATTGGGAATCAATCTACCTCAAGACCCAGTGATACCGCTCTTGGGCATATACCCAAAGGATGCTCAATCATACCACAAGGACTCTTGCTCAACTGTGTTCATAGTAGCATTATTCCTAATAGCCAGATTCTGGAAACAACCTAGATGCCCCTCAATCAAAGAATAGATAAAGAAATGTGGTACATATACCCAATGGAATATTACTCAGCAGTAAAAAAATAATGACATTATGATATTTGCAGAAAAATGGATGGAACTAGAAAAAATCATCCTGAGGGAGGTAACCCTTACCCAGAAACACAAACACAGTATGTATTCACTCATAAGTGGATAGTAGATGTAAAGCAAAACTTAACCAGGCTAGAACCCACAGTCCTAGAGAAATTAGGTAACAAGGAGGACCTTAAGAGGAGCACCCATGGTTCGCCCTGGGAAAGGGAAATACATGAGATTTCCTGGGTAAACTGGGGTGGGAGGTGAAGAGGGGAGGAAGTAGAGATGGTATATGAGGGATCAGCTTGGCTGAGTAGTGAAAGAGATGGAGAGGGAGAGCAACAAAAGAGATATCTTGATAGAGGGGTCATTACGGGGTTAGGGAGAAGCCTGGTGTGAGGAAAACTCCCTAGAATCCACAAGGATGACTCAAGCTAAGATTTCTGGCAATAGTGGAGAGGGTGCCTCACCAGACTAATTAAATTCTCATTAACAGCGCAGAGTCCCTTTTCCCCCACATCCTCACCAACATCCATTGCATTTATTTTTTCACAGTAGCCATTAAACCTGGGAGAGTTAACATTCCAGGTTACTTTTTGATTTCCATTTCTTTAATGGGTGAACATGGTGAACATTTTTTCACATAATCTAAAAAGTGCTCTATTAATTTTTCTGTTTATTAATGGGATTGCTTGGTACTTTGCTGTTAATTATGATCCGTGCGCTGTCACAGATTCAATGGTTGTGAGCCTTCAATGTTTGGAAGTCCTAATTCCCAACATGGTGGTATCGAGAGATGGAGGCCTTTGGGCAATTATTAGATCAAGAGGGAAGAGCTTTCACCCACATAATCAGTGTACTTTTAGGAAAAGCCCAGGGACCTAATTTGAAAACTATGTCTGCATTTCAGCAGATCAACTAGTCACCAAAAGTCATGGAGTGGGAAGGAGCATCTCCTGAAGCTACGGGGCCTGACTCCTGTCCAGCAATGTCATGGGCTGGACCACTGTTCCAGTATGGAGTTTAGTCCCTCTGTCCACATGAGTCTGCCCTGCAGCTTTGGTAGCTTAAAGAGAATCAAATATTACACTAGATACTTTATTGCTGTATTTTTATCATTTTATCGTCCCACACTTATTTTCCTTTCCTTGTCTCTCTTCCTTTTGGCCATTTTATTTTATTCATTCTTTGAGAATTTCATATATTTATACAATATATTTTGATCGTATCATCCACCTCATGTTCCTCTCCCAACTTCATCTTCTCCTCTTCCTCTTGATTTTCTTCTTTTATAGTCCACTGATCCAGTTAGAGCTCTCTGTCTGCATGTGGGCGTGGGGCCGTCCACTGGAGCATGTTGTCCATTTCTTACTTTCTCGTGTGGTGTTAATAAAAGAACAGTACTTCTATTTTAACCTTTGCTGCCACCATGTGGTAATCTGGTAATCTTTCATTACTGTCCTGGGGGAAAAAGGATTCAGCTACTGTGACCAGAGCAGGAGTAAACAGGGAACACACACTAAACTACAACAAGGCACAAAGAACCTGACCCATGCATCCAGCATTGCTCACGTGTCTCATAATAGCATTCATTCTTTAAAATCCCATTTGACTGAACATAGCCTAATTGGAATAGTCTCGATTCCTAATTCCACCTCAAAGTAAGATACAAAATGACTCTGGAAATACATTGTTAATCCTGCCTCTTTACTGAAGTGGATTCCAGAAAAGAAAAAATTGCATAGGCAGCTGGGTCTAATCTCTCAGGAGAATTTCATTTTGTTCTAGGACTACTTGTAATGTCCCAAACAATTTTGGCTTTCCCTAAAAATTAAATAAAAATGTTTTAAGAAGTAGAAGCTTCCTTGAGACAGACCTGTTGTGACCTTCCTACCACAGCTCCGGCCACCATTGTTGTTATTCTACATCATATCCGGTTACACAACCACTGCTTTTTGTTGTTGGGTTTGGTTTGGTTTGGTTTGGTTTGTTTGTTTGTTTGTTTGTTTGTTTGAGACAGGGTTTCTCTGTGTAGCCTTAGCTGTCCTGGATCTCACTCTGTAGACCAGGTTGGTTTCAAACACAGAGATCCACCTGCCTCTGCCTCCTGAGAGCTGGGACTTAAAGCATGGGCCACCGTGTGTCTCATAACCGTTGTTTATAAATGATCCCACCAGCTTCTACAATAAAATAATACTCTTGATAAATTATTCTCAACTCCTATCTCCAGTCTCATAGTGGCATAAATAAACACTGCCATCGTGCTTTCGTTAAGACAGCATTTTGTTACTGTACCAGTTGTCTGCCACTATCAACTTAGAGAGGGAACTTTTCATTCTGACTCATTGATTGTCCTGCTCTTTTAGGTCCTGTGGTGAGGGAGCACTGAGGTCACAGTGCATAACAAACCAAAGCAAAGCTAAGTGAAGTACTTACCTCATGGGTATGAAAGAAAAAGGTAAGTCAGTGAGTAGGAGCCTGGTCCCACCAGCCCTATGAGGACACCATCAAGTTCTTAAGATTCCCATCACCTCCCAAAAGGCCACATTAGGAACTGAGGCCTTGAGAGCACAGGCCCTCGGCCTGTGGTGCAATTGGGAGGTTTGGGGACTTTTAGAAGGGGTTGACCAATGGGAACAAGAAAGGTCACTGAGGGGATTATGTCCTTTTCTTTCTCTCCTTTAAATGCCACCCCTGAAGGGAGGGGCTTTCCCCTGTGACATGCTCCCTTGTCACAGGCTTCAGAACAACAGGTTAAATGTGGTAGTTTGGAAGAAAATTGCCCCCAAAGGGAATGGCACCATTAGGAAATGTGGCCTTGTTGGAGAAAGTGTGTCACTGTGAGGGTGGGCCTTGAGGTCTCTTTTCTCAAGCTTCACTCCGTGTGACAGTCAGTTGACTTCTTGTTGCCTGCAAGATGTAGCACTCTCAGCTCCAGCACCACATCTGCCTGTCAGGATAATGGACCCTAGAGGTCCTTTGCATATCCATCATGGCTTCCTCTTTACTGTTTTATGGGATTCCTGAGTGTGTGAAGAAGTGGGTCTCTGTGTCTATAGCTGTTTCTTATGCTTCTCCTTGGCTCACTTCCTTCTGTTTGTTTTGTCTTATTATGATGTGTTGGTTTTGCTTTATCACCGTATCATATTATATTATATATTACAATTATCCCTTAGAAGTCTGCTTGTTTTCTCTCTCTCTCTCTCTCTCTCTCTCTCTCTCTCTCTCTCTCTCTGTCTCTCTCTTTTTGAGACAGGGTTTCTCTGGGTAACCCTGGTTGTCCTAGAACTAGCTCTGTAGACCAGGCTGTCCTGGAACTCAAAGAGATCTGCTTCCCTCTGTCTCCTGAGTGCTGGGATTAAAAGCGTGCACCATCACTGCCTCGCTGCTGTATGGTTTCTAATAGCTGGGAGAGCTATTAGAAACCATACAGCATTTCCAGATGGGAGAGGAGGTTTGTGTGTGTGTGTGAGGGGGGACTGGGAGAAGTAGAGAGAGGGCAAACACTAATCAGTATATATTACGTGAGGCAAAAAAGTTTTCTATTTTCAATAAAAAAAGAAAAAATTTACGAAAAAGAGAAGAAAATGCTGGTCAAATATTCCACCACTGAGCTATAATCCCTGCCTTTTGATGTTTTGAGACAGAGTCTGGTTATGAAGCCCAGACTCACCTGGAATTTCTAGGTAGCCTATGTTGCTCTTAAATGTGCAATCCTCCAGTCTCACCCTCCAGAAATGCTCTGAATGAAGACTTGAATCACCACTTCTTGCTTGGTTAATAGTCTTGGGTCACTAGCATACCCATCGTGATTTTTCTTATGGAGGAAAGGTTGCCATGTGTTACTCTTCATGCTCTGAGGGTCTGTACTATTGAGCAGTTGTAAAGGGTTCCCCATTTTCACAACCCATGTTCTTCTGTTTGAATGTCATTTCTGTTTGTTGCAAATGTGGGGTACAGAGCAAGGCACTAAGTGAGCATGAAGTAAATTTGGATTAAGTGAAGAAAGTATCAAAGACAGAGACTGTCTGAAAGCATGCATTTATTTACCACGCTTGTTCAGTATTTGTATTGCAGAGGCAACAAAAATCACCATCTTGAAGGTTCCTGGGTTTGAGGATTCCAGCAATGTCTTGTCCTCAAATATGAGTTTCAAGAATTTTGTTTCTCTGTGTATGTGGAGAGAAGAAAACAGCACATCAGATGATATAATTCTAACTGGGTACGGATAGCAGGGTTTTCTGCAGGAAAGTAAACTGACCATGGAGGAAAATGGGATCCATTGGATTTTCTACCATAAGCTACAATATACTTTGGTAAGGAAGTTAGAGGAGTCTTCCAGGGTTAGTGTGCCAATCCCATGGTGTACCATGCAGTGTTTTCACAGGATGAGATGGTTCTGAGCTCACCAAACAAAAGTTCTGGGTAGTTTTGAAGGGGAAGAGGTCAGAGGAAGACTTTTTGCAAGGAGTGCTAGGAGCTCACCTGAGCTGCAGGGGGCGCTGTATTCAGCAAAAACCATTTCATCTGAAAGACATGGAAAAAAAATTGAGAATGGGAGTTTTGATGCAAGAGCATTTTGTGGAGCACAGTGGATGTGTTAGGACTGACCAATTTCCTCCATCAGAACCTGAATGGTTACTGAAAAGTCGTCTCTCTGGGGACAAACCAAGCAAAGAAAATATCCCCTTGAAGCCACTGGTTGACACGTTTATCCTGGGCCAGCAAGATGGCTCAGTGGGGAGAGGTGCTTGATGCCATGCCTAGTGACCACAGTGAGTTCAGTCCTCGGGATCCACAGGGCAGAGGGCGAGTAACCATTTCTCCTCATTGCCCTCTGAACTCCACAGGCACAGTGACATGCCTCCCTCTCACGAAATAAATAAGCAAATGGGCGACAACATCAGAATAATTCACCCAACTGAGAATATTGAAGTGTGCTTATTCTGCAGTGTTTGAGCAGAATACAGGGAGTGATCCATGGAGACGTGTGTCCTCTCAGATGCCTTTCTATATTTCTGATTTTTTTCCTTCAGTATTTCTTGAACTCATCTATTCTGAAACATTTGGCACAGAAAATCCCCATTTTATTCCCCAGCTCTGGCCTCTCTCTCTCTCTCTCTCTCTCTCTCTCTCTCTCTCTCTCTCTCTCTCTCGTCATCAATGACCACTCAGGCTATAATTCTCTCTCATCTTTTTATTCCTACTATAATTCTTTGTATAATTCTTCATCTTTGCGTTGCTATATTCAGAAGTAGATTTGTATGTCTTTCCACCAATAGACACTTCTTTGTCAAATGTTTGGTCCCTTGTGTTATTTAGACATGTTTGGTCACATATGGTTGTTTGGACAAACAAGTAGGAACAAGACATCAGTGACTGAATAAATTAAAATCTTATAAACATTTGTCATACTCACATTCTTTTATTAAGGGCAGATTTGCCAGTCTGGCCTATATAATGTGTCCCTATCTGTAAAATAATTGTTTTAAACACTGGGTGCAATGGTATATACAAGTAATATCTGCATTTGGAGACTGAGTCAGAATTGAGAGTTTGAGGTCAGCCTGGGCTGCATATTGAGAAACTGTCTTAAAAAAAAAAAAGGAAGAAAAGGAAAAAAGAGAAAACTTCAAGTTGCTTTAGGGCGCTTCCTAATCCCTTGCTCACCTGTCTCGTAGTAGTCATAGACTTTCACAATGGCAGGCTGCAGGTTCCTCACTGGGATGTCTTGTTGAATGACGAAGGAAAAGGCCAGTGTCTGATTGGTCACCTGGGAAAGAGAGAAAAGTAATCCAGGATCACATCACGGTGGTGGCCACTGTTTTTCTTCAGCATCACTCAGTCCTTGGTGTTTGAGAAACAGTTATGCATGGATAGCATTTAACCTCACAGTCACTGTGTTCATCTGCTCAAATATGTGGACGGTGATATGGATTTTAGAGTAGAGATGTGAGGAACTAAAGTAGAGGCTCCTGGGAGTATATGAAACTTTTCTAGTCTATTAAACTATTCCAAAAATCCATATTCCTCCTTAATGTGTGATGTAGGGCTTTGTTCAGGGTGAGAGTTAAGCCCTTTGACCTGTTGATTTGGGAGCCTATGATAAGTCCCAGAAAATCCAGCAATGAGGAAAGGGAATGTAAAGGTTTGTATTGTTGTTGTTGTTGTTATTATTATTATTATTATTGTATATGTGTGCATGCATATACTAGTAGAGGCCAAAAGTGGGAATCAGATCTCCTTCAACTGGAATTACAGGCAGTTCTGAGTTAGTTAGTGAGCAGTAAGTGCTCTTAACTGCTGAGCCATGTCTCCAGGCCAGGAATGACAATTTAAAATATCATCAGTATGAGCTGAGGGAAGGTGCCTCCCCAAAAGACTTCCTAGAGAATTGCTTTTCTCCTGCCTTACATTTCCCACAAAGATCCACCTAGACATGTCTGGGAAGGCAGGAAGGATGCTCACCTGATTTACATAGATCAAAGACTGTTCATCTAGGCATGTCTGGGGAGGCAAGAAGGATGCTCACCTGACCTACATAGATCAAGGACTGTCCACTAGACATGTCTGAGGAAGCAGGAAGGACCCTCACCTGACCTACATAGATCAAGGACTGTTCACCTAGACATGTCTGGGGAGGCAGGAAGGACCCTCACCTGACCTACATAAACCAAGGACTGTCCACTAGACATAGGTAGGGAGGCAGGAAGAACCCTCACCTGATCCACATAAAATAAAACATTGTTGTTGCTCACTTCTGTTCTGCTCACATGCTTTGATCTTTCAAGCTGGAATGAGAGAAAACACTGTGTTACTGAAAAGGCAAAGGCCTTGGGGGTGAAGAAGGCAAATGAACTGAGGGGTGGAAGATGATAGAGATGTCACCAATTCATTAAAGTGAGTTGGAAGAGACTTTCCAATAAGAATGAAAATGCATGAAGAAGACCGGGAATGCCGCTCCACTAGAGGCCTGACAGAATAAGACCTGACTTAGTAATCGGTATTTTTGACTTTGTTTGAAGGTGAATGGTCCTGCATTCGATAGTACTCACCTCATATTCTCTGTGCAAGTATCTTTCTGTGTCCTCTGCTGTTGATCTTAGCTTGTTGTTAATTTTCAAAGTTCTTAAAACACCACATCTACAATTTTGGTATTTCATATTATTTTCCCCTGAATCATTATTGACCAGGTTCATTATGCTTTAAAAATTATTGTTAGCTAGATTGTGAACTCAATGAACTCAAACACCATTGTTATATTTTTTCTGCTGACTGCTATCACAATCCACACCTATAGTTAGAATTATATAAATCCAATTTTATTAAATTAGTACTAATGCTGTTTTGGTTCAGGATGGCATTATTGTGATGATGTTGGCACATTCCTGGTCTGAGGATACAGAAATCCACACATCTGGTCTACCTACCCTTTTCACTGTTGATTTCAATGGAATGAAACCAGATACCATCTTCACATCAACAATCACCATGTTGGAGGCTGGACGGCTCCCTGTATAACTGCAGACCAGAGAAGTGGATGGAAGGAATATTTTTAATACTTTGAATCTTGCCTCCTTGGAGCTCGAGCAGCAATTCCTGATATGCCCTCTGTGATTTTTTTCATCCCTTAAAATATATGGCCTTTACAGTCAATATAAATAATTCTCAAAATAGACTGCATAACAATGTCAACTTGGAGTTCATTAAAAATAGAGGCATCCATGCAGTGTACTGGCCAGCCAGCATAGTCTTCTTAACAAGCCTGGGGCACTAAGAAACCGCATCTCAAAAACCTAATGCATATGGAAGCTGAGGACTGAGAGTGGAGACTGTCCTGTTTCTGTTTTTGTCGCTGTCTCTCTTTGTGTCTCTGTATCTCTGTGTCTCTCTGTCTCTGTCTCTGTCTCTGTCTCTCTCTCTCTCTCACACACACACACACCTATACACACACACACCCATACACACACGACTGTTGTCGAATATTAGTTTAATGATGCAAAGATGTGTTGCATTCTTTTATGTTGCATTTGTTTAACTCTGTAAAGCTGTGTTACTTTGTCTGTCTGAAGCACCTGATTGGACTTATAAAGAGGGGAATGATCAATGACTAGGAAAGAGAGAGGGATAGGTGGGGCTGGCGGGCAGAGAGAATATATACAAGGAGAAATCTAGGCTCAAGAAAAGTGAGGAGCAAGAAAAGGAAGAGATGAGGACTGGAGCCAGGGACCAAGCCACCAGCCACACAGCCAGCCATGGAATAAGAAGGAAAGAAAGCAAGATATATAGAATAAAGAAAGGTAAAAAGCCAAGGGGCAAAACATGGTTAAAGAGAAATGGGAAATTTAAGCGAAGTTAGAAATGCTGGTTAGAAACAAGCCAAGCTAAGGCTGGTCATTCATAAAGTAAGAATAAGTCTCCAGGTATTTATTTAGGAGCAGGGTGGTAGTCTCCCAAAGAGTAAAACAACAAGCTACACCCCATCACACTGTGGGAAACAAGATAATAGGTCACACTGTGGAAGTCTTCTTTCAATCCAAAAGCCCTTCAGTTTTTGCAGTTAGCACCCACTATTGGCTATAGTTTATATGAAGTTTTTGACAAGTGTCAGAAGAACAGAATATCTTTTTTTCCCTCTAGAAAAATGGAATCTTAAAAAACCAAGAAGGTTTGCCTTTGTTGATGAAGAATAGGCCACGTTAAAGTATCATAGAGAAAAGAACAATCTATTATTTACTATGATAGTGGGTGAGAAAGGAACCCAAAAAGTAGACAAATTAGAGATTATAATTCTATAATTCTTCATTGTTCACTTTGCTGGAGTCAAGTATTTATTTTTTTTTGACAAAACAAAATCCTAATGAAGAGCCTGGCTTTGGATATCTCTGAACCCATTCTGTGAAGAGTTCTAGGAAGACAACACTGTAGTAGCCAAGAGAGAGACAGAGGCTCATACCTGATTTCTAGTGAGATCTGGAAGCTGTTGTGGCCTTTGGGGTTATCACAAGTCAGAGGTACTGTCTGTACCCGCAGAGTGAACGCAGACTCCTGTTTCTCCAAGTGCACGTTGTATCTTAGCGTTGTCTGAGAAGTAGTGAATAGAAATACTTTACCTCCATTGCACTGGATACTTGGATCCATTTCTCCAAATCTGAACATAATGTGTGCAGGTAGGCAAAGGGAAACTTTCCATTTTGGGAAAGGAGGTTCCCAGCTGTATATTCATAACTTCCCCAGAATCTTACCTGAGCATACACACATCCTTCCCCTGACACATTGATGTCATAGTCCCCAGGGATGTCTGGTAGTGGGACCTGCTGTAGCAACAGGCGATTGCTGTTGTCTATTTGGAACTCTCTAGAAAATGACCCTGAAGTCTGGATCGTCACCAGAGGAGTTTTCTGACTTCTAGCAAAAGTAATTGCTCCATACTTGGACAAAGCATGGAGGGCCACCACAGTGTCCTGCAAGGGATGAGTATAGAAGTTCAGGATAGCATCAGTGTGGAGGGCTCGGGCTCTTCTCGAGGCTGTGACAAAAGTGTCATGAGGTTTTGTCTCTAGTTATTTGATCTCTAGACTTTAATTTAGGAAATATTTGAGAACCAAAAACATCCATTTAATTTCTCTCTTTACACAGAGCACCCTAGCATATGCAGATTTCCCCCAAACTAGTACAAAGAATAAAGGCAAATTAGATTTTCCTCCTAGCATTTACTGTTTTTCTTCCTTTGTCCTTGATTCCCATGATGATGCCCAGCATCTTTCAACAAAATCACGTTCTTGCTCTTATCACCAAACTTTCTTCCACACTTGAGGAACACTCAAGAGACATCAACCCATGGCCAAGTGCTAGTCACGATCCAATCTTATCAAATAAAAGGAAAAACTGTGATCTAGTGCTGTCCTTCCTCGCCTTGCTCCTTGGCAGCATACTCTGTGGGGATGTACTCCATGCTCTAGCGAGGATCTCTGCCACAGGATCCCTCCTTATCCCGTCAGCTCCAGATGCTATCCTGACTGCAGAGCCCAACAAGAGAACAGAAACATGCAGTGAGGGTGTTACTGTATTTACAATGCAGACTGCCTAGTGAGGTGAAAGATTGAAAAAATTGAATGCAAACAGGGTGGCTAATGTCATGGAAGGCTCCTGTTGGTACATTATTCTCCTTTAGAGGAACTGACCTCCTCACTATACTTCTCTGGAGATTAACTCTGCCATATATGCCCTGAATATAGGAGCATCATTTAGAGACACGGTAGTAGATGTGTATTTTTGGAAACTATGACCTCATGAGAATTATACTGACTAGATGATAAAGCAAATCGTTTACAGCCTTGATTGTTTCCAACTGTCCTGAGGTAAAGCAGGGCTGCAGGAGTTCTACTAGCTTGGGGAAAACCTGAGGGCAATCTCTTCATACATAAGATTAGGAGAGTCTGACAGGAGAAGGGGAATGGCCTCACCTAAGAGCAGCACGATGATAAAGATGCAGTTTGGTCCAAGTAGCATCTCTTAGGTACTCTATGTGCTATTCTAGAGTGAGGGATTATGTAAGGATTCCGGACACTCCAGGGTTTTTGCCATTGTTTTCTATCAAGGTTTGGGTCTGGGTCAGAAGTTCTCAGCAACTTAGGCCTGTTTCACTAAATGTGGTGTGAAGAGACCTCTTGTGTCTGAACACAGGAACTAGGAAAATTTATTATGGAATGTATCATCCCTCACTTCTTATAGACTCAAAATACCCACGAGTAAAATGTCCTTGTTTTTTTTTCTCCCCTTCCCCTTTTCCTTGTTCCTGCATCTCTTTTTCAAATTCCCTCACTGCATGGGACTCTGAAGGAAGTCACTGACCTGTGTGGAAGAGAAGCCGCCATGGGAATTCTGCTGCTTTGTGATCCACTTCACGATGCGCACTGCCAAAGCCAGGTCCTCAGGGGTTGGGGCTGGCTGGACAGTGAGGAGAGTGAGGAGGACATAGGCATTCATCTCCACTTCAGCAGAGGGAGCCTGTGGTTTGTACAGATACCTCTCTGATTTCCTGGGTTTCTGAGGTCTTTCCCAATGGACGGAGTTGTCTTAGGGTAAAAATAGAGAAATAACTAGAAGTGTGAGTAGCCTAGTGTCTCTATATAGAGAGAAGAAAATAGAAGAAGGTTGTAGTAGGTTTTAAAAATTTCACTCACAATATCCCCAGATTTATTATTACCAGTAAAAAAAAATCTGCTGTTGGTATGATAGTGTATGACTACGAAAAATATGAAGACAGAAATTCCTAAGGTATTAACTAAACTACACCCTCAGTGATGTTCTAGCAGAGTTGGTGAGAAGACAAGAACAGACATGATTCTTTCACTCATTAATTCCCTCACACCCTACAAAACATCACTTGTTCAGTGTTCAGTCCAAATGACTCAGGGAAGTTTCCCATTGGCTTCAGAATTGCAGTTGAAAGAGCAAGACCTTGAATCGTCGTTTCTTTTTTCCTGTTCTTTATAGTCTTGGCTCCTCCTGACAGGTATATGTGTATCAGAGAGGAAAGTTAAGCTTTAGCTACATTTCCCTTTGTAACGGTAGTTGGAACTGTGTTGCATTCTACTGTGATATTACATTTGTTGATTGGGTCACACTAGGAGAAAGTACTGAAGAGAAGGTGTTTGTGTGCAGAAGAAAGGCTAATTTCCTAATGTGTCAGTCCAAGGAGAAACCTCAGTGTGCCATAGAGACAGAACTAAAATGTGATACTATTTCCACACATCGTCTACTCCCCTGTTTCCCGTCACTGGAACTGGATGGAGACAAACACGATAACACACATTCCTACCTTCTTTTACAGCTTCAGTATCAAGTGATTTTAGGATTTCATTTCTCTTGTCCTGGTTCCCTGCCAGAGCGAAAGCATAGGCCAGCAGAGCCTTGGTGTAAACAAAGTTGCCATTTCCCCTGTGCTGTATTGTCTTCCAGGATGACTCTAGGCAGGTCAGCGCTTTGGAGACAACAGGTTGCTGTTGGCAGAACAGTAAATCCTGAGCAACATGAAAAAGTGTCCTAGCAGGCCTTGGAAGAAACAAGGAGGATGTAGACATTTATGCTTTTCAAATGAATCCTTCCATTGCCCTCCACTCTTCTTTTTTCCTTTCTCCCTACCTCTTTTCTTCTATCCCTTCCTCTCTCCTTCCCTCCTTCCTTCTCTCCCTCCTTTCCTTCTTTCTTTCCTATTCTGTCATTTATCATCTGTCTATCCTCTATCTTTTGGAGCCATTTCCTTTATAAACTATATTCCATTTAAATACAGACTAATAAAGACAGTATTAGAGGACATGTTTTTGTCTTGATTTTGGAATGTAGTCAGGATTTCTTTGAGCAGGTAGATGCTCATTAGTGGAATATTACAAATGCAAAAATCTTGTTTAAAAAAGCTGCCATTTGGCTTTAGAGAGGATAGGAAGCCTTAAGATTTAGACTAGTTTGGGAAGATGGAGAAGCAATGTGGCACCTACTGTGTCTGGAAGTGAACTCTCCAGAAGGGCAATGGTTATATAGGCTGAGAGAGTAACTTCGTCTTCTACTCCACCCTGTAAACAAAAGGATTGAAAGAGGTAAAGTATACAGCAAGCAATCCACTAAGTATGTCTTCTCTGCTTGTGTCTAATCCTCCGTATTCAATGGAAGTTCTCAGTTATTTCTTCATTATGAAAAAAATACTTCCCCAGGCTAAAGGGTTGTTCATCCCAGTGGTAAGGAGTATGGCCCGACTTTCAGATGTTATTATTAGGTCATCATGCTTATAAGTAGTTCAGAATAGGTCACCTTCATGGCATTGTTGAACAGCGATCCAGAGCTCCTGAAACAGCCATTGTCCTGCTGCTGCTGGGAGAGCCAGGTGAAGGCGTGGGTGATGTGTGTTTCATCGATGAAGATGAAGGCTCGAGCTTGGGCAAAAGACTTGAGCACAAAGGCTGTGAGCCTGATCGGGGAGGGAGAGTGGGGAGACGAGGGCGTTTGTTCTGATGCAGCATTTCACACACGGGTTTCTGGGGTCTGGACCACTCCCATGAGTAATAGTCTAAGGGTCTCTGAGCGCATGAAGCTGACAGTGTCTCTTGCTCTTTCAAAGTAGTCTTGCATCCCTGGTCCTCTTGGATGTGGACACTCCAGTGTGGTCCATCTGCTTCCTGCTCTGCTTCTTACTGCTTCTCCATCACGCGCTCTCCTGTTTCCCTAACACCTGCACCCTCATCTTAGCCTTTTCCCGTCCGATGATTTTCTCTTGTAGATCAGAAAACCTTCTCTCCTAAAAGCCCTGCAACATGTTTTCCACCTCAAAATGTCCATCCCTCTCCTTGGCTTACTTCCCGTTTCTATCAGTTTCTATGTCATTTGTCACCTGTAATGTCTGTGTGTTTTATCCCAAGAACAAATTCTTATGCAGTGCAGGACCACATGAAGAATGGTATCAACTTTTCAAGTCTCAGGTACGAGCCTCTTTGGATGTTCAGCAATATGTTGTTGGGTATTTACTGATGAAAGATCTTGTGGAGGAATGAAATATTCAGGGTATTGAATTGAGTAAAACAGGTGGTCCAGATTCAAGGCAGATGAGCCTTGAGACAATTTCAGTTCTGTACTTAGGATTCCCGCTACCTCGGACATGTCCGTCTCCAGCCCTGGCATCAACTGTATTTCCATGACTTAAGACACACACAGAGTTGCCATGAGGAACAAGAGTTGAGCAAGCCTGACACATAGTGGACTTTCCTTACCAAGTGCTTCCTTGACTCTGGCTGCCCTGATCCCCGAAGGCGCTGTAGGAGCCATCCTTGTGTTTGTAGTTCAGCTCCCTCTGATAGCCTGGAATGGAAGGCTTGGGTGTGTTTTGAAGAAACTGATGCTCAGAGAAGGACAGGATGTCAGGCTGAAGCCAGAGAGGCCCTTACATACTCTGGCTTATAGGACTGACTGAATGAGAACCCCCCTCCAATGCTAAGCCTGTTTCTAGAGAGACCATTCACAAGAAAATAGTGTGGTTTCTAAGCCTTACTGACCAGCATTGAGGTAACCAATGGCCTCTGACTTGATCTTCTCAGTCAGCTGTTGGGTCTCATTCAGATATTTCAGTACGTAGATGTTAGGAGCAAAAAGCACCATGTTCTGCTCCCCACAGCCAAAGGGCATTGCAAGAAGATTTTGTGTGTTTTTTATGGCTGAACTCAAGATATCACCTGCGAGTGAGAGATGTAACATCAGACAGAACAGCCATTATCTTCAAGAACAAAATAACATCTTTAATAGAATCACTTCCAATGATGTGAAGGAATTTCAAGGGTGCGGTGTGCTGGGAACCCAGTGGATATTGAGGGTCTAGAGACAGAAGAAGGATGTCAAAGAGTTCAAGTGTAGTAGTTCAGAAGCTACATTTGGAATCATGGTGGACACAGGGCAGTGGTAGTGACTATTGTCCCAAATCCTCCAGGGATGGAATGACTCACCCAACACAGAGAAATGGGCTCTGGCTGAATCTTTCACTACTGCTGGTGGGAGCATCAGCGACAATTTTTCAGATATGCCTGCATCTTAATAAACAAAACAAACAGGTACATGATTATCTCAGTACTCAGAACTTCTAAAATGACCTACGGTTAGTAGCTTAGAACTGTGTCTTAAGCTTTGACTTCTTGTCTCTCTTGAAAAATGATCTTGTTGTAAATATCACAAACCCACATTTCCTGGTAGTACTGGCTTGCCAAGCTCTATTGCTTCTGCTTTTATCACTGATTGTATTGAAGCAAAGCACCTCCCAAAGGAATTTCTGAGTTTCCTATCAATGATTTACTTGATTATTTAATAAACATATGAAAATATGTTTATTGATTGAAGTTTGGTTTAGGTATACTCTGCTTTGGGATTTTTTGGTTTGCTTTGTTTTGTGTGTGTGTGAACTTTGACATACGTTAGTGTTTTCTGGGAATAGGAATCCCAAATGAGAAAATGTCTCCATAAAATCCGCCTGTAGGCAGGTCTTGGGGGCATTTTCTTTTTAATGATGGATGTGGCAGGTCCTAGCCTAGTCTGGGTGGTCCTCATCAGAGCAGGTGGTCCTGTCAGTTATATAAGAAAGCAAACTGAGCAAGTCAGGGAAGACAAGCCAGTGAGCAGCACTCCCCCACGGCTCTGCTTCAGTTCCTGCCTGCAGGTTCCTGTCCTCACTTCCCTCATGATGGACTTGACTGTATAAGATGAAATAATCCTCTCCTCTCCAACGTGCTTTTTGTCATGATGTTTTATCTTATCTGTGGAAACCTAAAATAAGGCAATGTTTGAATAAACCTCCAGTATGTCAGAATAAGTAAATGGATAAATTCTAAACTGGCCTTTGTTATTCCTGGTTCCCCCTGAGTGGCCTTAGGAGGTTTCACTGATCACTCCCGAGATGCTCTCATGGAAGGCTTTCCTATGGCAGGAGTAATGGCCAGATTGCCTTGTAATAAATAAGTATCAGGAGAACCAGAATTGACCAATGGGAAGAATAGGGTTTTTGTTACCTTGTCCTTGCTTTTTAAAAAAATTAATCTCCAGTAACCCCGTTCATGCACTTCCTTCCACGGAAAACATTTAAAGGACTTTAGCATTATATGATGATTTTCTTCTACAGACTGTATTAGTCACTGTTACATTAATTTATCTCTTTTACAAAGAAATTTGCTTTATTTCATCTCTTTTGCTAATTTTCATATAATAATGGATTTTACATTAAATTTAAACTAATTCCAATTTCTTTATTCTTTTGACAAATATATGTTGGACATGTACTCCTCCACTGACTAGTGCAGGTGCTGGTCATGTGGTCATTCCTGTGAGTGGACAGTCTCTGCCTTTGTGCTTGTCCCTCCCAGGGGACAGTGAGCTAGCTCCCCTTGTGTAACACATTGCTGCATTTCTTTTGCAATAGTGCATCCAGTGAGGAGCATGGATGAAAGAACTAGTCATAGAAACAACTATTACAGAGAAATATTATGTTTGGTACACATCACGATGTAGCTTGGCTTATGTATGGAATTTATTCAGCCATAAAATCCTCTGTTTTTATTTACAATCTAATATAAAAGAAACATGGTCCTTCCTAAGATATTGTCTGTGTTTTTCTTTCTTTCTTTCTTTCTTTCTTTCTTTCTTTCTTTCTTTCTTTCTTTCTTTTTTTAGAAAAAGTTTGGTTATGATCTCTTCTTAGCTATTCCCTAGCTATAATTTTCTAAGTACTGAGATAGGCTAGATGAAATGTTTTCTGTGTTCTAAAGAAAAGAGCCACAATGACCTCTGAAGTTCTCGGTAGAACTATGACTGTACTCTTGATAGCTTTATCAGGTGAGTAAAGATCTTGAAAGTTTGTGTGACTCAATTTGGTTATTTATTTTGTGGTTATAAGGTATACAGTATTCTTGTTTTCTTTAATTTTTTCATTTATTTTACATACCAACCGCAGTTTCCCCTCCCTTCTCTTTTCCAGTTCCTTGCCCCCACTTCCAGTCTGCCCCCCCAGCCACTCCTCCCCTATTCAGAAAGGAGCAGGCATCCTTGGGTGCCAACAAAGCATGGCATATCAAGTTCAGGCAGGAACAGGCTCCTTCCCTGGCATCAAGGCTGGGCAAGGCATCCCAGGCTGGGAAATACGTTCCAAAAGCCAGCTCATGTACCAGGGACAGGTTCTGATCTCGCTGCTAGAAGCCTCACAAACAGACCAAGCTACTCAACTATCCTGGTTTTCTTATAGAAATATTTCAAAAGATCTAAGTCAATGATCTAAGTTGTTATCTTATTGCTGTTTTGAAGGATTCTCACCTGAGGCACAGAGCAGTGAACTGAAGGTGTGTTCTTTCTTAATTCCTTCAGGCTTGACAAAAAGATAGAAAGTTCAGACTCAAGAAATTACTGAGTGTGCAAATACAAAGATGTTAGCAACATTTTTTTTTTTTATTTTTTGGTGAAGGGAGACAGCGTCTCTACTTTTGGGCCAGGACTGGAATTAGATGGTCTAACTTTCCACCATATCAGGAACGGCATAAACATTTGAGAATTTGGGGATGCCAGGTCAAAAAGAAGATAACAAGGAAAGATAATAAAGACAAAATATAGGATCAGAAGACAGAGCTCAAGCTTAAGAAGATAAACTGGCATAGCCCATCCCCTCCAAGCTCTAGTAAAGAGAATGGGAAGAGAAAAGAAGACAGAACACACTGATTTAAAGCCTGAGCTTGCCACTTGCTGTGAGGTATCCTAAGATCACACATTACTATCTTCTATTTTTCATCTAAACACAGTCAACCTCGCTCCAGTCTCAGCACACTGTCAATCAAGAGAGGTCGCTCACCTCCACTATCAGGACTTTGACAACTGTGTCCTTCTTCCCAGTTTCAGGAACTGTGGCCACCTCAGAACCACAAGGCTCTGGGGACTGTTGTGCTTCTGCAGTCACGGAGAAATTCACATTCCCTGAAACACACGGCCCACAGAGCTGAGCTCAGATGTGCCAGGAACTTGGCATCCTCCAAACCCCAAGATCTGCAAAGTATCCTCAGTTCTATGAGCAGTTCAAGGGCTTGTCCTGTGTTTAAGAAGGTGGTAAGCACGGGCCAGAAGTAGTCGTGACCCAGAGCTTGAGGGCCCAATGAGAAGAAAGTAACTTCAGAAACCTTCCTGCATTCAGTCTTTCTGCAGAGTCCCCTTACAGAGTTTCTACTTACCTAATGATTTGGGAGTTACCAACCAGGATGTGGTGTGCCTCCCGTTGGCACAGAGGCAGTAAGAATCTTCGTCTTTTGCCACTGGGACAGCTGTGAAATCAGGGGAGTCTTCCAGCAGCACACCGACCTGTGGCCCCACATGGGCAAAGAAATAGCAAAGATGTCACCACAGGAGGATAACCTATTATGTGTGGATGGAGGTAGGAGAAAGGGTGTGGAGGGGATTTCTGTTAAAGAGAGAGTAGGAGCGGTGATTTTGGGACTCATGTGCCTAAAATGTCACATAAGGTGACACAGAAGCTTGCATGTATTTCATATGCACATACATGTCTAGAATTTTATCTAGCTATCATCTATGTATTATCTACACAAATAATTAGAGAGTGAATTATATATTTATCTATTCATGTTTGCTTTATTTTGATGGCAAAGATATATTTACTGTACTATATTTTTAACTACTGTACATTGTTGGTATACATATACCTCTAACAAAAAAAAAATCTATTGTAGAACAATATGCCGTTTTATCCCGACAACAGCCTAAGACATCTTTGTGGACCATATCTTTTGATTGTATCCAGAGGTCACATGGACTATCTATGTCTGTCAGTATAGTATGTACTAGTTCAATAATGGCAAAATCACCTAATACATTTTATGTAGTGTCCATATAGTTAAACAACTCTTTGTTGTATATGTAGCTAGAGTCTGGGAATTTTTTAAGCATTTAGAACCAGTGCTGATGGGCCCAATAAAATCCCTTCCTCCCTTTATTCCTTCTTTTTATTTAATTCTTAGGTAAAGTTTACACACACTAGTTTCCCTCTTCCCTCTGGTCATGCTTTATTCAGAAAGGTCTTCACCCGGATGCATGTAGGGAGGTAGTTCAGCACGGTGGCCTTGAGTGTGAAGGCTTCTCCACGGATCACAGAGTAGGGCATCGTGAGCTCCACAAAGAAGGGCTGGAAGGCTTGGAGAGATACCGAAGGAGAGAGGCCAAGTCCAGTGTCACTGGACAGGCAGAGGGCTCCGGCCTTCCACTCAGTGATGGTGTCAGGGACTGTCACTTCCACTTCAGCTACTCCTGAGGAGCTGGGAGAGTGAGGATATGAGGGACAGAAAGTAAGCACGTGAACTAGTTATTTCTGAGATGGTCACTATGATTGTGATCTAATGCTCTCACCAATGAGAGTGACTTCAAATCACCACTTTGAGTTTTTCAAAAGAGTCATAGGAAGTGAATAGTGTAAACAGGACTTCAGGTAGAAGAATAAGGGTTTTTTTGGAAGCCTTGTTTACCGAGTTCAAATCATGGCCTCATGACACCTCAAAGTTTGTGTGTTAGTGGAAATTTTTACATAGATTTAAAGTTGTCTCTGAACTCCCATCTCCAGAATACCATAGGACAATTTTATGACTTTTATGGTCCATTCCATGTAGTCTACCCCATGTAGGACTGCCTCACTTCCTACTCAATATGACGTTCCTGAATGGTTCTAAGCATGAGAAAGTATATGATAAATTTTTGTGTGAATTCTAGGAGTGATGGAAATAAATATATTTTATAATTGATGGATTGATATGTAATGGTCTTCTAAATTAGTCATTTCCCTTGTTTATGATAGAAATTAATTAGAAAATTACTAGAAAACAAAGAAAGAAAATTTTCATACCCAGCCTGAATCTTACCAATGGAAATTACTTACTTTACTGTGACTAAATCCCAGATCCAGGTTTCAGGGAAGTATTTTCTAATGGTCTCAGTAGGTGGATCTTCACGTGGTGGATCTTTCCTTGGTGGTGCATATTCAACTGTTGGTATGTTCATGATTTCTTCATGTCCTCTGTTAGTCCCATCATCAGATGTCTTAAAAGGCACTATGAGGTTACAATAGAAGAAATGGACATAGTTCTGATTTCAGTGGGATACAATGTGCAGGGTCAATGTAGCTTAATTTTCAGTTTCTTCTTGACTGTTAAATGCTATCAAAATGACACTGGAAACGAAACATTGAACCTCTCACTTTGGGGGAGAGTGGTAACATCTCTGTCAAAAACAGAAATTATGAAATCCCGGAGAAAATAGCACCTAATGTAGTTTGAGTTGTAAGGAAGCACGGTGCATATTTTCTTGGGTTGGATAGTTAGGGAATGCTTACAAATATAACATTCCCACTAGGAGGATTGAAGATCCATAATACTATCTCCTAGGCAACAGATCCTGTGGCTACAATGAGCATCACTCCAGACCAGAGCTGAGTGATGGCTACATTTATCAGCAAAGACATTCTTAGAATGCTTTTTCTTTTTCAAGATCTCTAGATTTGTAGGACTAATACAATATTTTCATAGGTTTCCATTTTTATAAAAACTGAAAGAGGTATAGGTACAAATTCTTGGATCAGAAACACATACAATAGAAAAGTCCATATCAAGGTTCTGTTTTGTTTTTTGTTTTCTTTCTTTTTTTTTTTTTGGTGATGCAAAGAAACTTTATAACTCAAGAATTATAGCATTGGCTTGGGCTTATACTGGCAAGAAATGCAAGATTTGAAGGTGGCGACAGAGGGTCTGTGCTCTGCATTTTCCAAGAACAAGTATACATGCAGATTTAGTTAGGGCTTCGTCTAAGTATTTCCCAACTGAATCTCAGCTTTGGAATTCTCTCCCAATATTAAATACATAGACACACAGATAGCCTCATTTCTAGAGGTCCTTCTCTGTGATGACCACAACCTCACAGCTGTCTTTATATTTGCCTTTAATTATTTGGTGTTTTCTATCAAGTAAGTTCTTCATTCATTGCCTTAAGCATCTACAAGGATAGTTGCCCAATTTATCCACAGTCTAGAGTAGTTACTGTGTTAGGTCCTGTTGCTTGTGGTGATATTTCTATTACTTTTCAAATCAGTATGAGGAAAGTTAATATAGTCCAGTCAAAATTATGTTTTATTTTATATTAACACACATGTAAAAATAAATTTTAGTATTTAGAATATGAATAATAATGAAGATAGGGATTCATGATTTCAAGTTATATTGCAAGGTACGGTAATAAAACCAATATGGTACTGGCACAAAAATAGACATGTACATCAATGGAACAAAATTCAAGATCCAAACACAAGCTCATCTGATAGCTCACATGAATGCAAAAAACACGCACTAGAGGAAAGGCAGCATTTTCAACAAATGGTGCTCTGAAAACTGGCTGCTCACATGTAGAAGAATGAAAACAGACCTACATCAATGACCCGACACAAAATCGACTCCAAATGGATCAAGGACCTCAACTTGAAATCTGAAACTGCTAGAAAGGAAACATAAGCAGTAACCCTACAAAACAGATGTGTAGGAAAGGAGTTTTTAAATAAGACCCTTTACTTAGAAATTAAGGTCAATAATTGACAAGTGGCACCTCACAAAACTAAAGTGTTTCTACACAGCTAAAGAAACAATCAATAGAATGAAATGGAAGCCCACAGAGTGGGTGAAAATCTTTGCTTCTATTCATACGATAGAGGGTAAATATCCACAGTATATGAAGAACTGAAAAACAAAGAGTCAAGAAAACAGCCCAACTTACAAATGGGATCCAAACACAGTTTTCAAAAGAAATAAACATGGTTAAGAAATATCTTTAAAAAGTGCTCGTCATGCTGGCAATTCAGGAAATCTAAATTAAAACAACTTTGAGATTTCATCTCACCCCAGTCAGATTAGTCAACAAAACACCTGACAACCGATTTGGAGAAGAACGGGAAAGGGAAACTCTCTCTTACTGAAGGTGGGAATGCAAACTGGTGCAGCCACTCTGGAAGTGGCTCCCATGAAGCAAGAGGGAAAGGTTACACGTGGTTGGTATTGGTTGAAGAGAGAGTGAGCGTGACCTTTGACCCGAGTGCTTTGCTTTTTCCATCCTCTCCTCTGTCTGCAATGCCTGGCTTTTCCCTTCTCTTCTTCATCTCTAACACTTAGGAAATTCTCTTCACCTCTCTGACATGTCTACAAGAGTTCTTCACACCTCACACAATGATTCTCTATTACACTATTGCCCTTGGTCTTATCTGTCTCTTTAACACTGAAGGAAGAGCCTCCAGTCTCCAACTTCCTTGTAGTACCAGCATGCATTTGGACACATTTTGCTCAGGTAGGTTTAGGCTCTTTCTCTTTTATTTGGATACTATACATGCTCTACAATTATATTTTATCACCTTTGGTAGATAATTCACATTTATTTTATTCTGAAAATAAATGCTGATTTGTTATTTTACCTGCTATTGGAGGATATCTACCATATAAAACACATAGTCTAGGATGTTTGATCTTCAAGTTGGTGAATGCCTTTAAGCCCATGTCCTGGAAAGAAAATTAGTAATCAAGCAAAATATCTCAAAAATTTGAAAAACCTCAATGTGAATAAAAGTTATAGTAACTTATTCAGATATAGGTTCACATGTTCAAGTAGAATTCCTACTCAAATTTTATTTTCATACTCTTTAGAGAGTGTGGTGAGGTACACAGACTTCGTAGTGAGGCATACTTCTTTCTGATACAAAGCCCTGTAATTTTTAAATGTCACTCACAGCCACACACAGTGGTGCAAGCCTTTAATCCTAGCACTTTGGAAGCAGAGGCTGGTAGATCTCTGTTGTGAGATACTTGATAGCACTGTGTAAAGATATGTCACTGTGACTGGTTTAATAAAAAGTTAAATGGCCAATCGCTAGCCAGGGAGAATAGGTGGGACTTCCAGGAAGGGAGAGCAAGTAGGAAGAAGAATTTAAAATGGGATGAGGGGGAGAAAGAGAAAGAGATGCCAGGGTCCAGCTAGCCAGACAGCTAGCCAGAGGAAGCAGAAAAATAGGACATACAGAATGAAATAAAGGTCAAAAGCCCCAAGGCAAAATGCAGATGAATAGCCGGGCGGTGGTGGCGCACGCCTTTAATCCCAGCACTCGGGAGGCAGAGGCAGGCGGATCTCTGTGAGTTCGAGGCCAGCCTGGTCTCCAAAGCGAGTTCCAGGAAAGGCGCAAAGCTACACAGAGAAACCCTGTCTCGAAAAACCAAAAAAAAAAAAAAAAATGCAGATGAATAGAAACAGGATAAATTAAGATAAAAGAGCTAGTGGGACAAGCCTAAGCTAAGGCTGAACACTCATAATTAATAATAAGCTCAGTGTCTTTACTTGGGAGCTGGCTGGTGGGACAGAGAAAGACTTGTTTCAAATCATGTAAGTCTGAAGCCAGCCTGATCTAAAGAGTGAGTGCTGGGACAGCCAGAGCTACAGAGTGACACTCTGTTTCAAAAAAACCAGAATTAAGAAAATGCCATTCATCTACTCTGTGCCTAGACTGGGCACTTTCCAAGATACAGTTTTTATAATGCTTGGGATGGAATCCATGAACCACCACAGGTAAGGTGGTTGGTCTGCTAGTTCTTCACATCCCTGGCCTGACTCTAAAATTCTTTACCAATATAGCATTTCATGAAACCTAAATAACTCCTAGAGCAGCCTGTTAATGGGTAATACTGCTTACCTCCACGTAACTGTGGACATCTCTCTCATTTGGTCGTAAGGGTGGGAGTCCATCCTCATCTCCACCCCACCAACACATTTGTTCATCTTCAAATAATTGGTACGAACCTGGGATGGAGTCGCTGGGCTGCATATCTGGCAGATTGTATATCTGTAAGAAACAGGAGACAAGGGAGCCTCTTTCTTGGGCTTTCTTGGAAGATTCACACAAAAAGAAAAGAATCAGTGTGATCACTGCAAATCATTTCTCAGTTTCTCAATGATCCCCTAACAGAGCTTTCTGAATATTTTCTGGTGAAGAGTGCTTTATTCTGAGAGTGTTCACAATATTTAGAAAAAGACTAAAAATACTTCACATATTTAAAAAATATGAACGTAAATCCTGCATATTATATTTGAGAATAATGTAATTTTAATATAATTTAATAAAATATATCAAACACTTAGAAATATATTTACACTACATAAACCATTCAATAAATAGAAATACAAGGTTGTATATTTCTGCCTACTGGTACACTATAAAAACAAACAAAACAAAAATTGAGTTGGTCAGTTCGCAAATAGCCTGAAAAGATCTGAATGAAGATTTCTCTACATATTTTTTTCCTAAAATTTGGGGAAAAAATTTCAAAACAAAACAAACAAACCCAAGCCACCTCTATCTTTGACAGAAGGATGTATTCAACGCTCCAAACCGTAGTGTGTGGAATTAGAAAGAGGGAGAGGGACTGCAGGTCACGTGTTCAAATGGAAGGGCATCATGGTAGGAGCCACAGGAGAAGCTGATGATGTACAAGCAAGTTTGCCAGACTGCACCTGACCCAGCCTGGGCACTGGAGGTCAGGAGTCCACAGAAGGCAAGGCTAGGGGAAAGTGTGAGGAAGACAGGAAACAAAATCTTATCAACCCAGGATGGTCTGAACCTGTGACTCTGAGACATGAACTTGTTCTTTGAATGGACGGTGACTCTGGGGAACAATGCTCACGAACTGACTTTTGCCTTTTGTGGCTCCTCCAAAGAACATACTGGCTTGCTCTAAAGTAGCAACACAGCCAGTCATGTGACAGACAGCATCACCCAAGCCCAGACCACAGTGCCAGCTTCCGTTCCCAATGAATCGACTTGTAATTCTTCTACAGATTTCCAGTGTTAATGACAGAAACCAACGTGAACAAAGATAGGAGAGTTGAGGAAAGAATGGTAGTTAGAAGCTAAATAATAAAACGAAAACCTCCAAAATAAAAAGAAAAGAAGAAAAAAACAAACAAAAACTATAAAATTCTCACAGAGGTGGGGCACATTGTATCCATGCAGTAAACTCAAGATTCTTTCAAATCTAGAGCAGGAAAAAATAGGTTTGGACATAAAACTAATTTGTAACAAAATATTTCAAAATATGTCAGGTACATCTGAAGAAAATGCTCAGAAAGTAGAAATCCCAAGGACAATTGGGGTAAAAGAAAGACAACGTTAGACGATTTCCTCAAGACACTCACCATTTGCCTAACAAGAGCAATAGACTGAGAGAGAAATAGATAAGAATTGAAAAAAAATCTTAGAAAAGAAGCAAATTAACCTCTCCATCAATGTTTTTACCTTGGAATCCCCATGATCTCAAGGGACTGAGAATTTAGCAATCTGAATATTTGGGTAGGAAAATTCATATCCTTACTTTCCTAGGTATATAACAGAAATTTAACATTGCCTGACTTATGAATCAATAAGTAGCCACATACACACGTATTAGGAAGATTATGACTTTTGACCTTATGCAATATCAGAGATGTTTTCACATTGTATTTGGTTTATTCAGAGAGCTTGAAATGCTGTCTGCATCATTATTCGTCAGGACTTGAGTGGATTAAAAAATGGCCAGCTTGATCCACAAGGCAGAACAGGGCAACCTTTGCACAATTGGTACTCAGGAACCTTCAGCTTCTGAACAGTGAACTCCTATTTTCTCAGTCCAGAGGTCCCGTCTGGAGGTGGGCTCCACTGTTCCCTACTATACTTGGTTGACAACCAGTGTGTGGAAGAATGTGAGTTAAGACAGCCCATAGTAAACATAGGAGTGTTTGTGCGATCTCTGCTTCAGCCCTTTCTAGTTTTAACTTGCTTAGTGATGATTTGTATTGATTTTGTAGCTTATTTGGGCTGTTATTTCATACAGGGCATAGTTTTTTTGCAATTCTTCTTTCTGGTATTCTTACATATTTTATCTCATGCATTTAAAAACAGTAATGTCAGAAATGATACACAGGCTCCCCAGGACACAGTAAGAACCCACGGCCTCAGATGCTTGTGAATATTCAGGATATCAGATCTAAATAAAAAATCTTTAAAAAATTCCAGAGAGAAAATACTGAACAAATAGAATGATGCAGAATTAATGGTATTGAGCATCTTAGTACTAACTTAGAAAGATGAATCCATACACCCAATGTCTCCAGAGTTCTGAGGGAACATGATTTCTTAGCTAACAATTTGACCATTTCAAAGTACTAATTATTGACGTAAGTATAGCCGCAAAAGAAGTTTGTCACTGATTCCCTCTTTCTCAGAACAGTACTAGCACATGCTTAGTACCCTAAGGGAGGCAGCAACCTGAGAAAAAGTCACAGAAGTCAGAAAACATTTTGAAGGGACTCCCCAAAATAGGGGTGAACACCTGTGATTCGGAAGTTAACCAGGTGATAGCAGGGTGACAGAGGGCTCTGCTGGGGACAGTAGCAGAACTGAGCACTGCCACAGATGCTGGAGAACTGAAATCAAGTGAGGAGGAGGGTGGCCTTGAAGTAAATATAAGAAGGAATGATTAAATGTCAGGACATAGGAATACAAATGAGAGGAAATATGACCACAGCTCACTATCTGACTTCATAATGAGCTACATATGTTGGTTATAGAAATGAAAACTGTCTAAGGATTTCACGCAGTAATCATATAGATTTGTAGGCAAGGTGAAGACCGGAAGGATCTTCATAATCAGCTTTAATATGCTGCTTTATAATAAGAATGAGTAGATGACGCCAATAATGAATAAAGGCCAATACTCTCAACGACTGATAGAGAATGTGGAATAAAACAGTAAAGGAATAGCTGTGATCATCGAAAGTATAAGCAGCCAAAGCATGGACAGGGCAGGGTTGTGGGAGAAAGGGATATCCGTTCATGTTTTTTCTTATAACTCTCTGGGCAGTACATGAGTTTGTTCTTTTGTTTGTTAACTAATTGCCTGTATTTGTCGTCTAAAACAATAGCTCGAGAAATCTCTTATTTAATGGATTTGGGAAAAGTTGAAATCTAAAAGAAAAACATATTGATCAGATACTTTCCTAAGCATTTTTTTCAAGTGCATCAAAACCTTCATCACTAAAACAAACTTAAATGCTGGTTTAACTTACGAATTAGTTGAAAACTGGGTAGTTCCTAGCATTATCTGAACTAAAACTTACTGTTTTTAAATTGCGTAAGAACCTTACATACATTTTAAAATATGCTATTAGTCAGTGGCAATAATAATTTTTAACACTATTACAGTGATTATGTAATTTTTCCTAATAAACATCATTCTTAATATGATAGGAGGAAGAGGTTTGCTCTCGTTAACTTGGCTGAGACTCCAGTAAATAGTTTATGGTTTGAGTTACGCTGCTGAGAATTTTCAAAACAAGCTGAGAACTTCCTTGTACTCTGCCTTTAAATTTTAAAGCATTCTGTCTTCTTATTTGGGGAACTCTTGAGATGTACAAGATTCCATTTGTATAAACTGTTTCATTTGGCTCCCCCAGACAGCGTCTCTCAGAAAAGCTCCATCATGAGTGTGTTAGGGGACAAGCCACTCCCGGGGTAGGAGAGGCGCAGTAAGAACCCAGAATGCCTCGGTCACACACAAGCTTTACAGCTCACTGAGTGCTTGACTCAGGCTTTGTCTTGACTTTATTGGCTGAGTTTTCAGAGCTTTTCCTTGGGATTTTATGATGAAGAACTCCCTTAGTGATGCCTTTAGCATTAAATGCGGTATTTTTACGTTAAAGAGCCCTAGTGTCTGAATGACCACTACTTTATCAGAACCATCATCTCAGAGCCTCACCACAGGCCTTTCTTGGACAGAGGATGATGGGGACTCACCCAGGAAGGGGAAACCTCAGCTTCAGGCCTCAGGAGCAGCATGCTTTGGTCCACGGCTCTTAGGCCACAGAGGGACTGAGGAGAAGCTGTAACACGCAGATGGGCCTGTGAGGCAGGAAGACTTTGGGCTGGGGTGAAGGTCAGGTCCACCTGTGGGAAGGGAAATCAAGCTTAGCCAGCGTCCTGCTCTTGCAGCCAAGAAGCCCACCACGAGAGTCACCCTGTAACTCTGCATGCACATCTGTTTACCAGATTATGACTGTCAGAAGCTCAGCCAAGGCTCATTGCTTCCTTTTCACCACTGGGATTGATTTAGGAAGACAGCAGATGTGTCAGTCAAACTCTGAAGCAACAAACGACTATTTCAGCTCCCTGAAATTCTTGTTAATAGCTCATTTTTGGTATGTGAGTGTGGTGTAATGCACACGTGTGTGCAGGTGCATGTACTCATGCACCCAGCAGAGGCCAGAGGAGCGTGTGTGTGTCCTGCTCTCACTCTCTGTCTTATAGACTTGAGACTGTCTCTCATGAACCTGGAGCTAAACTGGCAGGCTGAAAGTTCCAGCAATTCTCCTGCCTCTGGCCTCCACAGCAGTGGGGTTGTAGAAGTAGCCAGTCATGCCTGGCTTTTTTACATGAGTGCTGGGATCTATGATTCAGCATACATTTAACAGTGTTGTATCATAACATTTAATAACAGCAAGGCTCTCTTATCTATGTGTCCTTATCACACACATAGGAAAATCATAATGAAAAATTGGAAGGAAACTAAATATACTAACCATTGATAGGCCTGGATTCTATTACTGGTCTTGCATAAATTGACGTGACATTAGGGTCTATGAGATTGCTCAATGGGTAAAGGCACCTGCTGTTGACCTCATGACATGACCTTGATCTCCTGGACTCATGTTGGAGGAGACAGACATGTGAACATTGTTCTCTTTCCCCCACATGTGTACATTCATGTGCACGTGCAAATGGCATAAATATAATAGTTTTTAAGTTACAGGAGTTGGAACTCGTTAGGCAGTTATTAATCACTCAGTCCCCCTCTCCTGCTCCATTTCCTTGTTTTCTTTCTTGTCAACCTCCAGCCATTTTGGGGGTTTATGAACAGAAATCTGGTACTCTGGTACTGTTTATATTTTTGCCACTGAGGCACACACCAATTGCCAGGGTTAGTGTATCTGAAATCTGTATCATTAAGCCATTTTTTTTTCTCTTTTCAAATAGAAATTTAAAGAAAGAAATCACTCACTTTGTTGAGAAGACACTTTTCAACTTCAAATTTTGCAGAATCTGCAATCATTTCTCCATCAGGCAGGATGGTGTAGACGAGTACTTTAGCCTCAGGAGCCATGCTCAAGTCCACGGGGATCTCCAGGGCAAAGTCGCCTTTCACTGGAACTGGAGGGAACGGGAAGAGACAGTTATGGGTCAGAATACTGACAAGAAAACTCAAATAACTAAATACAGTGGACTGGAGGACTGTCTGTATGTGGAAGACATTCTTACATCTGGGCTGTTCTGTGTTTAATTGTTTGCATGCTAATGATCTCAGAAGGGTATGGGATGCCCACAGCAAGATACCTTCAACCAAGATGTTCACCACGGAAAGTTATATTGCTTATTTATAGCTATTCACATACTAACTTCTTATCTCTATTACATCTTAACATCCCAAACAGCATCTGTTAGATACTCCTGTTATAAAAATGGGTGAAACAACCTTGACTAATGTTTCACTTATTATTTAGATAAGAGGAAGAAAAATATAGATGACAACCTGGTACTCAGGGAGCTGATATTTAATGATTATCTCAGAGGAGTAAGTTACATTTGAAAACAATAAGCATATCTTTGTAGTCAATAAAATGTTCACAGTATTTACATTTCTTGAGAGAAAATTATGCAATTTTGAAGTCTCTTGTATTATTTCTGGTGAACCCGAGGTGATTCATAAACCTTCTCAAGATGAGTGCTATGATCCCTGTTTAATGTTTGTAGAAGAACTAACTGGATATTTTATTAAATAGCTAAATAGTTTTTATAATTGACAAGGAAGCTCTTCTTCAGTAAGTTTGTTGAGCATCTAGCAAATCCCTACCACTTCTAGAAATCACTTGGAAGATTTCTGTGAAACTACATACACAAATTTATGTGTTTCATGCAGTCAGTAATGAAGAGAAATGGATAATAAATAGGTAAATTATAGAAAATATATTTGCATGTGGTAAGTGCTCTTTGGAAAGGAAAGGATGGCAGGAAGACGAATACTGTGAAAACCGGGATCCAGTGGTAACTTGGGATTTTAATAGGAGCAGGTAGAAGGGGCCCCATTAAGAGAGTGACAGGTGAGCCAAGTAGAACTGAGCATTGTCATCAGGATATGACAGAGTGATTTCATTTCTTTCTTTTTCTTTTTTAAATGGATAATAGAGATTTATTAAGATATAAATTGAGGAAATACACTCACAAATATAGAACCAAGTAAACAGTTGAAGTTGTCCTCTGTCCTAACTAGGAGTGAATCCACCTGGCAGTCTGATCATGCCAGGAAGTAGGAAGCAGGGGCCTCATGACCCCTCTCTTTCTTTTTAAAGAGGAGAGAGATGCTCAGTGGTTAAGAGCACTGACTGATATTCCAGAGGACTCAGGTTCACTCCAGGAAAAAGGAAGAAAGAAACATATGAGCCCTCTCTCCTCTCATTTTAAGAGGTCACCTAGGAAGGTAAGAAGCGCTGCCTCCTTTGGGCCATATAGCCCAAGGTCGTGGGCAGAGCAAATACCACTACATCCATTTATCCATTCATTGACATCTAGTTTTTTTTTTTTTTTTTTTTTTTGGTTTTTCGAGACAGGGTTTCTCTGTGTAGCTTTGCGCCTTTCCTGGATCTCGCGCTGTAGACCAGGCTGGCCTCGAACTCACAGAGATCCGCCTGCCTCTGCCTCCCGAGTGCTGGGATTAAAGGCGTGCGCCACCACCGCCCGGCCTGACATCTAGTTTTAAAGATGAAAGAAGACTGATAAATCTCAGAGCATAAAAGTGGCCTCAAGAAGCTGAGAATCCCCGTAGCTAATAGAAAAGAGACAGAGGTTTTCATCTTTCAATGGAAAAAGACCAAATTCTTGCAAAACTGCAATAAACAGGGAGTGATTTCATTCCTTAAGTCACAGCAGCTATGATTCCTGCCCAAGACCTTTGCAACATCAAGCCTGTCAAAATTCCAGCGTGGATGGGGAGGGGTTCATGGAGACCCAATCTTAGCTGAGGAGCTGTTGACAGTTGATGGCTGCTGAGGGGAGGATGAGTCAGATTTCTTCAGGGATGCAGGCCCTGGTAGACCTCCCATGTTTCAGTGGATGGCCCCATACCACATGCACATATGGGGAGTACTCACTGAACTTAACCAGTTCAAAAAAAAGGATGGGAAGTAGGGAAGGCCTGGTGGAGGTAGGCAGGGAGGGGCTGGAGGAGATTAATGAGGAGTAGGTATGATTGAAATACTTTGTACATGGAAAAAAGAACGCATCTTCAACCAGTGGTGCTGGCATAACTGGATGTCGGCATGTAGGAGAACACAAATAGACCAATATCAACCATCCTGCACAAAACCCAAGTTCAAGTGAATTAAAGACCTCAACATGAATGCAGTTACATTGAACCTGACAGAAGAGAAAGTGGGAAGTAGCCTTGAACACACTGGCACAGGAGACAATGTAGTAGGTTGTTGTCTGTGCCATGCCCTGAAGCACCGGCTGTAGTGAGGCTGCAGGTAGCTGCCAGGTACCTCCCCTTCGGCTTAGCCTGGATGGGCACCCTTAAGACTTGGGATGTACGAATGTATGTGCACTCTCTTCCCTTTGCTACCTCATGGTCTTGGATGCTGGTGTGGATCAGGGCAGAGCTCTCTGGAGAACAGCAATGAACGATGCCTCATTATTCCAGGATTCTGCTATAATCCCTATTTCCTGTATTGTGAGTTTCCTGTATCATGAGTTAACACCCCCAATAAATTCATACAATCATTAAGCTGTTTTTGTGGATTGGTAGTGATTTAATTGCATTTAGACAATTTCCTGAATAGAGCACTAGTAGAACTGACACTAAGATCAATAATTAATAAATTGGACCTCATGAAACTGAAAGCTTCTGTAAGACAAAGGACATGATCAGCAGGACAAAAAAGTCACCTATGGAATAGAAAAAGATCTTCATGAACTCCACATCCAACAAAAGGCTGATCTCCAAAATATATAAAGAATTCCAGAAACTAGATATCAAAAAAAAATTCAATTTAAAAATAGAGTACAGACTAAGCAGAGAATTCTCAACAGAAGAATCTGAAATGGCCGAGAAACACTTAAAGTAATGTTCAACATTCTTAGTCACCAGGGAAAGGCAAATCAAAATGACTTTGAGACTCCATCTTATACCTGTCAGAATAGCTAAGATCAAAAACACAAATGACATCTTATGCTGAAGAGGATATGGAGCAAGAGGAACACTCCTCCATTGCTACTGGGAGTGCAAACTTGTACAGCCACTTTGGAAATCAATATGTTTTTTTTCTCAGAAAATTGGGAATTGATTTACCTCAGGACCCAGTTATATCACTCTTGGGCATATACCCAAAGGATGTTCAACCATACTACAAGGACACTTGCTCAACTATATTTATAACAGCTTTATCCATAATACTCAGTTCTTGGAAACAACCTCGATACCCCTCAACTGAAGAATAGATAAAGAAAATGTTGTACATTTACACAATGGAGTATTATTCAGCTGTTAAAAACAATGACATCAAGAAAAAGCAAATGCATTGTGTAGTACTGGCTGTCTTGGAACTCTATGTAGATTAGGCTAGCCTCGAACTCACGGGTTGTATCTACCTCTTGATTGGTAGGATTAAAGGTGTGTACCACAAAAAAAAAGAGAAGAAAATGTAAATAGATGGAACTAGAAAAAATTATCCTGAGTTAGGTAACCCAGACCCAGAATGACAAATATGGTATGTATTCACTCATAAGTGGATATTAACTGAAAAGTATAGGATAACCATGCTATAATGCACAGACACAGAGAGACTAGGTAACAAGAAGGGCCCAAAGCGAGATGGGATACATAAATTTCCCTGGGAAGAGGAAATAGAAAAGATCTTGCAGGTGGACTGGGGCAGGTGGGGATGGGAACTTGAGGGATCATGTTGGGAGATGGATGGCGGGGGAGAGTACTGAAAGAGATGACTGGAAAGGGGGCATACTTTAGAGTCAGGTAGAAACCTGATGCAAAGGAAATTCCCAGGAATCTACAAGAATGTCCCAGGTAAGACTTCTAACAATAGTGGATATGTAGCCTGAACTGGCTTTCTCTTGTAATCAGATTGAAGACTACCCTAATGGTCATCAGAGAGTCTTCCTTCAGTAACTGATGGAAACAGATGGAGAGATCCACAACCAAACATTAGGCTGAAGAGACGGAGGAAGAATTGTAGGAGCCAGAGGGCTCTAGGACATCAAAAGAACACAGAATCAACTAACTTGACTCATAGGAACTCACAGAGTCTAGACCAATAACTAGGGATCCTGCATGGGCCCAACCTAGTCCCTCTACACATATGTGACAGTTGTATAGTTTGGTTTAGTTGTAAGACTCCTTACAAAAGGAGCAATGACTGTCCCTAACACTTTGGCTGGCTCTCGGGAACCTGTTCCTCATACTGGATTGCTTTGTCCAGCCTGAACCCAAGGGGAGGAACTTAGTCTTACTACAATTTGATGTGCATGCTTTTTTAATAGCCATGTGAGACCTGTTTAACAGACACAGGAGGAATGGATTGGGGAGTGGGAGGAGGTGGTGGGAGGAGAGGAGGGGGGAGAAACTGCAGTCAAGATATAAAATAAATAAATTAAAAATACATTGCACAAATATATGTAACTTTCAAGGAATAAATAAAATGTCTTTAAAAGTAAAAACAAAGGACTGGAGAGATAGCTCAGGGTTAAGATCACTTGATGCTCTTGTAGAGGACCAAGTTTGATTTCCAGCACCCACTCAGGCTGCTCAGAAGTCTGTAACTCCAGCTTCAGGGAATCTGATGCCATGACTTTGAGGGCATCTGCACTGATATGCACATACTTACACACACACACACACACACACACAATTTAAAAAAATTAAAAATGAATCATATGAATCAAATTGACGTACCTACAGTGTTTTAAAGACCAAGGATGCAACCCTTAATGTTTTGTTTTTTTTTTATGGATGGACACTAAGATAACACATTTTGCCTTGTTGGTGATAATCTGTGTGTGAATGCATAGATTCATCACTTGGAGTATTTTGTGTTTTCAGGTGTTACATCTTCAGAACAGATAGTTCCCCATGTTGAATGATACCCAGTTTGGAAGTTTGAGACTTTTGCATCCTGAAGGTCATGGTATGAGTGATAACCTACATTATATGGCAGAACCTTGAACTCCTGCTGTGGAGAGTGTTTGCCATGATACACAAGCACCATGGCATCCTTAGGTGCTCAGTGGTGAGATCTCACTGGTGAGTATGTGGGAACTCAGTTGGAGATGTGTTACTGGGCAGGCGGGAAATACTCACATTCTCCTGGCTCCATGTGGTGAGTGTGGCTTCCAGTCTGGATAATGCTGCCCTTGGCCATGACCTAAAATAGAAAGTGTTTTCCAAGCTTACATCTATATTTTACAAAGCTTTCTTCTAATTGACAAATCTATTGTTTGAGACCCAGACAGAAATACCCAGCCTACAACCCCACATGACAGAAGGAGAGACAGGGTCAGGACTTGAAAGGATTCTTTGTAGTTCTCAACATGGAGGTAAAACTCACCAGGTAATAGAAGATAAGCTCTCCCTTCACTCTCAAGACCGGACCCTTCAGAATAAAATGTGCCGGAACTGTATGATTCTGACTGCAGGGCAAGACCCCAGCCTCTGTTTCCAGGTGGACATAGCTCCTGCTGAAGGAGTACACACTGTGAGCCACATGATATATCTCTGCGTGCTCTTCTGCTGTACAAGGGTGATGGATGCATGAATTTTTGTCCTTGTGGTAGACCTGGAGAAACAACAAATTTTGTCATTAATCATTTTAAAAATTAGATGTGTAAAATTATTTATATAACATGCATATGCTTCAATAAGTTTGAATCCAGTTACTGAAAAATTGGGGGATTTGGAATAAGTTTTATTGTTTTGTTTTTCATATTTCTATTTTGATGTTGAAATTTGCACATCTGTGAGGATGAATATAGGACATCTACTATTAAAAGCAAATTTTCTTAATGAATAGCCTTCTTTGAAAGGCTTGATCTCCAATAATCCTCAGGAGTATGGAGGAAATTTCAAAAAGTTCATCAACACCAAAGTAAAGTAGATGTATGAATATCATTCAAAACAACTAAAAATACCTGTGGTGATATTTTATTTGTGCTGAAATGTGATGATATTTTATTTTCATGTTAATAAATAAAGTTTGCCTGGAGATCAGAGGAAACAGAGTCATTTTAAGTAAACACAAAAGTGAGGCAGTGGTAGCACATGCCATTAATCCTACTACTTATCAGGCAGGGTCTCTGTGTGTTCAAGGACACACTAGGGAACAGTGCAAGCATGGTGACACATGCCTTTAATCCCAGTACCAACCATAGAGAGCTGAAGTTCTGTACAGATAGGCAGTGACAAGGAAGTAAGGACAAGGGTAGTCAGGAGATGGTTCACATTTGGAAGCTGCAGCATGGTCAGGAAACATTATCTGGTGCCTAATCTTATTTCCCTGACCTCTCAGGCTTTCACCTCATATTGGCTCCACGTTTTTTATTTAATAAGGCCGCTTAGAAATTTGTCTACAAATATCTACTATAACCCAATTCCAATGAACAGAAAGGGAAACTACACTGAAGTTAAACACTTAGGTTAAAAAATAGAGAGAGGAGCCTCTTGGCACTTCTAGGTCTGGTGGTCTCACTGAGGACAGTCACAGGTCCACCCCAGGCATCGAGACTTGGGGCAGGAAGAAATCAGCCATGAGCCTTCTGGGCACCACCATTATGGTGAGTGAACACAAGGTGGGGAAATGGGAGAGAGAGAGAGGCAGAATGAGTCATGTGCTAGGGAGAGAGGTAGATCTGAAGAGGGTGGTAGGGAACAGGCTGATGTAGATGGCCTGCTTGCCACAGAGGGCCTTGGTGTTGTTCCAGCTGGGGTGCTGCCAAGGTCCATGAACTTGGTCCATGGTCCTGATGTAGCTTTGTGGGTCTGCATTAATGTCTGTGGCTTCTGTTACCACTGAGGGTCCTGAGGATGGCCCAAGCCATCACCTGTGACCATGTCCACAACCAAGGGATGTGCCCCCCGCAGGAGCCATGCCAATCAAATAGGTCTACGCTACCACCCTGGAGTATTGAGACTGCTGCTAGGGGCCATGTCTGGGTCTATAACCCTGCTGTGGCCTGACTCTGAGTTGATATCTGTGGCTCCTGTTGTCCTGAAGGGCCATCCAGAGCCCTAAAGTCTGGGCTAACACCTGAGGTCATGTTGGTCTTTGAAGGTCAAGGGTCTTACAGACCTGGGTGGCCTGTGCTGCCACCCAAGGCTGTGGTATCATCAGGACCCAATCTGTGGGCATGGGCCATGTCTAGGTAAATGACCCTAACAGAGCCTGAGTCTGGGTTGATGTCTATGGCTCCTGTTACCATCGAAGCCTGAGTAGATGCTAGAGGGATTACCTGCCACCTGGGAACATGTTGGTGTTTGAGGGCCATGCTGCTTCTGGGGAGATCCTCATCTGGGTGATGTGCAATGCCAGTTAGGGCTATGGTGACATCTGGGCCCAGACTGCTGCTAGGGATCATGTCTTGGGTCAGTGGTCCAACCATAGCTGCGGTTTGTATTGATTTATGTGGCCTGTATTGCCACCAAGGGCCACACAAATATCAGAGGCCTGGACTACCACCTAGGGCCATTATAGTGTCCAAGGACCGAGCCTCTGATTGGGCCATACAGATCTGAGTAACCCTTGCAGCCACCCTGGGCCATGGTGTTGTCTGGACCTGGGCTGCTGCTAAGAGTCATGTCCGACCTGTGACCCTGCTGCAGCCACAGTCTGAGTTGATGTCCATGGCTCCTGTTATCATTGATAGCAGTGAGGATAGGCTTGCACACAATTGGTCCAGCCCCTCCTTGGCTACAGCACTAGGGAGAACTAGCCCTGGCCCTCACTGACTGTAGCACTCAGGAGAGTGGGCCTTGTACCTCCCCAGGGCATACAGTAGAGCATTCTCTGCTGGTGAGGGTGTGGAAGATCTGGTCCTGAAGATGCCAGAGTGGAAGAGCTAGCCTCATGGTCTGTCACGTGATGGCATGGGGAAGGGAGAGATTCCCATCTGCCCCTCATCACTGACCTCTCACCACCTACTGCAGGCAAGAAAAGCTGGTCCTGGGGTCATGTGAGTGGGAGAGCTGATCCTGCCTCTCATCAGGGACAGCATTTGAGCGAGTGGTCCCTGTATCTAGTCCTGGCAGCACAATAGAGTTGACCCTGTTGGTGGTGGTGCAGGTGAGCTGGTCTGGAGGGCATGGGAGCAAGAGCCGTGACCCTCCCCCATATGCCATGTGGTGGCCTGCGTGAGGCAGGTGAGAGAGCTGTTCCCAGGGTCATTAGAGTGGGAAAGCTGGGCCTGCCCCTCACCAGCTGCAGCACACAGGAGAGCAGGCCTTGCACCTTGCCTGGGCAACACACTAGAGCTGACCCTGTTGGCAGGGGTGCAGAGGTGAGCCAGGTCTGTGGACGTGAGAGCAAGTGAGTTGCCCCTGCCCCTTCCTGTTGAGAATGCTGGTAGCAATGGCTTTACCTGAGGCCATGGGTGTATACAGCAGGTAAAAACTAGTATTCAACAGATTGATCCACCACATGCAGTGAACACTTACTTACAAGTAAAGATGTGTGGACTAAAGTGTATATTGTGTGACTCACTGGGCCAGACAACAGCTTCTACATTGATATGCTTTTGGTTTTTAGTGTTTTTTTCTGTTTTGATTTTGTTTTACTTTTAAATTTTGAGGGTTGGCCGGGCGGTGGTGGCGCACGCCTTTAATCCCAGCACTCGGGAGGCAGAGCCAGGCGGATCTCTGTGAGTTCGAGGCCAGCCTGGTCTCCAAAGCGAGTGCCAGGAAAGGCGCAAAGCTACACAGAGAAACCCTGTCTCGAAAAACCAAAAAAAAAAAAAAAAATTTTTGAGGGTTTTTTTGGGGGGTGGGTATCACAAGGTCAGAGGGCAGAATTGAGGGGGTGGGAAGATGGGTGGGATTGGGATACATGATGTGAAATCCACTAAGAGTCAATAAAAAGTTTTTTTTTTTAAAAAATGCAAAAAGAAATTGAGGTAAATTTCATTATTAAAGTAGCAAAAAGGGAGTCTGGGGAAAAGAAAAAAGAAGCAAGATCAGAGAGAAAGGAAAGGAGGCCCAAGTCTGAGAAATAAAATCAAGGAACAACCCACTAGAAGTCTGAAGTATGAGATGTGAATGGAAAGAAGACTACTGGGGCCGAAGTGTAAGAGTTGGGGTGGGGGGCGTTGGAGAGATAATTGGGGAGGAGGATCAAGCAAAAAATGTATAAAAATGACACAGTGAAGCCTGTTACTTTCTATGCTAATTAAAATCAAACAGAAACAACAAACTCAGAGGAGGAGGGGGAAAGAAGAAGTGGGGTGGGCAGGAGGGTGAGAAGGAAGAAAAGTCTGAAGTAAAACCAGGAAAGAATAAATGAAATCTAATTCTTGTGACTTAGGTAGAGAGGAATCTTTCCTAAGGCCTTATTTCGAGGATCCACCAGGATTACGAGAAAAGAGGGCAGGGAAGTGACTTGTTCCATCTGAGCTCCAGTCAAGAAGATCAAGGTAAACATCCATCAGAAAAGCAAGGTAGATGGGCCATCATATCAACTCAGACAGGCCATCAGAAGAGCAAGATAGACAGGGCATCAGATCAAGGTAGACAGGGCATCAGATCAAGGTAGACAGGGCATCAGGAGAGCAAGATAGACAGGGCATCAGATCAAGGTAGACAGGGCATCAGATCAAGGTAGACAGGGCATCAGATCAAGGTAGACAGGGCATCAGGAGAGCAAGATAGACAGGGCATCAGATCAAGGTAGACAGGGCATCAGATCAAGGTAGACAGGGCATCAGATCAAGGTAGACAGGGCATCAGATCAAGGTAGACAGGGCATCAGGAGAGCAAGGTAGATGGGCCATCAGAAGAGTGAGTCCCAGCCTGAGCCACCAGCTGAGCTAAGACAATATCTGAAGCACTGCAGGGCTGACTTCCGGTCACTGAGTCTATGTATGTGCTTGTGTGGGGGTCTGTTAAGTAATGACAGTGTGAGCTACGTGTGATCTCGCCAGCTAAACCCATCTTCTGACTGGCTGAGTTTCTCCTTACATCAGAGGAACCCTCTCAGTGTGAGTGTGTGTGTGTGTGTGTGTGTGTGTGTGTGTGTGTGTGTGTGTGTGTTTGTGTGTATGCCTGCCTAAAGCAGGAACTAGTGTAGCATCAATCATATTCAGTTACACATTAACTGCCCCTTGTTTGAGAAAATGGGCACAGCATATTTGGATAATGAATTTGAGAATACACAGCACCTGTTCTTGACTGAATAGATAAAAATATGCTTTTAATCATTTTTGATTGAAAGTCCTGACTTAAGATATATAGAAGACAAACAAAATAAGAGAGTCTATGAAAATATTGTATTTAAAAGGATGTATTCATAATGTGTGTACTTATTTCTCTAGCCCTTTGCTCATACATTTATTACTGATCAGAAACCTTTTATGTTTTGCCCCAAAATAAGAAAATTTGGCATGGGGATATTTTTCATGAAGCTACACATTATTGAGTTCAAGCTGTTAGAAAGCTTCACCATGTGTCTTATGCCCGCATTTCTGACTTACTTTGATAGTGAGGGAAGACCCCTCAATGTTGGTGGTGTTGATTGAGAACTCCGACAGGCCATGCTGATCAGAGGTAGTAACATTGGTATAGTCAAGTTCATGTGCTTTGATGAAGACTTGCTCATTTGGCATGGGAGCTCCTTTGATATCCACTAGGCGGACCTAAATTGAACAAGGAAGAAGAGTATAGTGTAGGTATGATGATACCATACAGAATAGAAGAGAATAACTTGTTTCAATATTATGTAAATATCACAAAAGATGCACCAACTAATTCAGTATGCATAAAACATTTTACAAACATCTAACACTTTAAGATCTACACCAGTAGGACTGGCTGTGCTGTGAAAGCCAGAGGCTGAAGGTGTCATGTTCTTAATATGACTCCATAATAGATGCTTCATACTTAGCTGCTATTCACAAGAAACCATCGAAGAATTCATTGTGTCAACTAAGGGAGGCAGATGCACTGACACAGTCAAACTAAAATCTAGTGAGGACACTGAGGCGAATGGAGAGTGGGGGTTGGTTATGAATATGTGGCGTATCTTGCTTCATTGTTGAAACACAGTGACACTTAGGGGTTTAAAGTTTTCAAGGACAGTAATTATAAATAAAAATTTTGATCCATATGCTTTAGGCTTGGGGCTTCTTGATAACTTATAACATTGTAACTTGATAACATAGTCTGCAACTATGTTAAATTCTTGTACTAGAACCACTGATATCAGACAAGTTTAACACTGAGCAGAATGACCTAGGTTGAGATATCACAATATAGCCCAACCACTTATGAATCAAAAAGCACTTTACTTTCACTATGAATGGAATCCCACGTTTAAAGTGTGAATCTGCTTTCACAAATATGAGTTTGGTTGTGGTTCTTTCAATTTTAGTTGTCCCAGATCCCGTGGACTCAAATCCTGTAAAAGAAATTAGCAACAACATTGAAAGCCCAAGACAGTTAGTGAAGAATTGCTTGTTTTCTACATCCTTTTTCTGTACTGTTCAAACCACCACTGACATGAACAGGTGTGAATTTTCACAGCTTCTTTTTCTATATTCTCAGGTTACTCACGTACCTGTCCCTTCTTCTATAATCCTTGCCATCACAAAGAGACGATAGGCTTCATGTCTTTTCCTTAAAGGAAACACAGGGATGTTTTCTTCTTGTGTGGTGCAGCCATTGTGGTCTAGCTGTTATGAGGATAAAAATAAGGTAACATGGTACACTGTGTATATTGACAGTCGACTCAAACCCACACATGAGGACTTCTTTGAGAAAAATGAGTGCTTAGTGCTGTACAGTATGACATTCTGGTCATAATTATGGGACTTGGCTAACACAATGAGCTGCTGTGAGCCATGATCATGAGCCAGTCGCAAAGTTGTGTTGACTTAGTCATCTATAAAAATAATGATTATCTTTATAGACACATTAGGAATATTAAGTAAATTCACAATTATCATGTAATCAGAACACTTACTTGTGTGCCACTAGGACTTAATAATCACTTTGCATTATTTAAAATATCAACCACAGGCTTGGATGCAGCCCAATGGTACATTTCTCTAGTAGACATGAAACTGTTGGCTTGATACCAAGTACCAGTAAATAGATAAAGTGAAATCTATTTCCACAGTGTAATGGGGCCTTAGGAGCTACCTCTGTGTGGTTCTGTGAATGAGAAGAGTCTTCATAAGGAAGAACTGACATTATTCTGAAATATGAAAGAGAAGAGTCACCAGAATCACATTACTTTGTTCTTAATTCAATTTTAACTTCACAGCTTACTTTATACTGTTTGCCATTCTCTTTTGTACCCTGATGGCTGGCATCATAGTGTGCTTTATTTTATTTAAATTGTGTTGCTCTATCATCTTTGGTTTTCTGGTGTTATTGCATTTTGTTTCGTTTTGTTTTATTTTATCACTGAAAGCTAGAGGTGAATGAGCTGTTAAGTGAAAACTGCTTCCTAAGAAGACCCCCAAATACACCAGAGGAGAGATTCATCATAAGAGATTTGTAGATCACAATGTAGAAATACAGGAAACATGACACAAGGCAGTGTGAGAATTACAAGAGGGTACGACTCCTAACTATAAACCCCAGAATTCTGAGATTGTGGTGATGCTGGACAAATTATCTAATTGTCTAGTTTTGGAAATGGCTAGTGACCTCAAAGAGGATTCAAATAAGCAGATGACAGTATCAATTCAGGACAAGAATGAGAAAGTCAGTAACAGATGACATGGTCAATAAAAGATAAATAGCATGTGAATTAACCAGAACATCCAAAAAATCATAGGAAATAAAATAAATAAATAATTATCAACAAATAGACTTAAATATAAATGATTTTAACTCTCTTAATAAGAGACATGGGACAACTAATTAGACTCTAAAAATGAAAGGATAGTGTGGTAGTTTGAATGTACTTGGCCCCCATAAGCTCATAGGGAGTGGCACTATAGGGTGGTGTGGCTTTGTTGGAGTAAGAGCAGCCTTATTGGAGTAAGTGTGTCACTGTGGAGGCAGACTTTAAATCTTTATATGGTCAAGCCGCACCCACTATTGTTGACCACTTCCTGTTGTCTGCAAGATGTAGGACTCTCAGCTACTTCTCCAGCACCATGTCTGCCTGCACACTGCCTGGCCCCACCATGATGATAATGGACTGAACCTCTGAACTGTAAGTCACCCAATTAAATGTTTTCCTTTATAGGAGCTGTCGTGGTCACGGTGTCTCTCCACAGCATAAAAACCCTAACTAAGGTAGATAGGAAAGGATAGATCAAGAAAATCCAAAGCTGATAAGAAGTAGAAGTATCAATACTTATATTTGATAAAATAGACTTCAGTCCAAAGTTAGTTACAGGAAATAAAATATCACTACCTATCAGTGAAGTGAATAAACCAAAAAAGAGTACTGAGTAAACATGTCAATGGATCCAATTTCATGAAAGAAATAATACTAATTAAAGGATACATAGGTTCAGATTAAATAATAATGGGTGACTTTAGTACTCCATACTCATTAATTGCCCATCTGGACAAAAACATAATAATTTCCAGAGTGTTATATAAGAATTTCATCTGTTTAAACTTTCCATCTGTAAGGAGGCTCACTAAGACTCAGGACATATATAAGCCTTACAAGGCTCAGGAATTAAGCAACTCACAAGTCTCAAGAAGTTCCTAAAACTGATAAGATTATAAGGTGACAAATAGGCTAAAAGAATTCATGTCCACCAAACCAGCCATACAGAGAATAACAAAAACAATACTTTGGACTGAGGAGGAGAATATGCATAGTAAGAGGCTACAGAAAAAAAAAATAAAGCTAAATTATAGAAACATGAGATAAGATTAAACAGAAATAGCAACAAAATCATAAAGTGACAGTAATCAACACACATCTTTCAGAGATAACTTTAAATATTAATGGCCTCAACTCTCCAATCAAAAGACACAGGATAGTTGAATGGGTTATAAAATCAGTCTTTTTGTTGTTTACAAGAAACTCATTTTATCTTCAAGGATAGGCACGGCCTTACAGTGAAAGGATGGAAAAAAGTTTTTGAAGCAAATGACCAGAAAGCAAGCAGTTATTGATATTCTGATATCTGACACAATTGATTTAAAACCAAAATTAATCAGAAGAGATAAAGAGGAATTCTTTATTCTTATCAAGGGGACAATTAACTGAAAAGACACTACAAATCGAAACATATATGAACCAAACTCTAGCACACACACCTTCATATAAAGCATACTACTGAACTTCAAGACATAGATGAAACCAATTCAGTAATTATAAAATTATACGTGGTTTCTGAACCCTAATTTCTCCAATAGGGTATCTGGACAGAATCATCAGAATTAAATAACATCATACATTAAATGAAGCTAACATATATCTTTAGAATACTCCACCTAAACACCAAAGAATATTTATTCTTTGAAGTAACAAATGGAAATATCTCTAAAATAGACAAAATACTTGGACACAAAACAAATCTGAACCAATATAATTGTTGAAAGTTGAAATAACCAAGTGCGTCCTATCTGACCACAATGCAATAATTCTTAGAATCAACAACAAAAGAATTTCTAGAAATTACACAAAGTCATGGAAATTAAACAGACTAATACTGAATAATTAATGAATCAAAGAACAAATCAAGAAAGGAAAAAAATTTTAAATCCTGAAATTAAGTGAAAATGAAAACACACCACAACAAAACCTCTGGAATCCATTCAAAGCAGTCCTAAGAGGGACATTTACAAGTCTCAGTATTAATATAAGAAAGAAAAGAAATAACACAAATAAATGATTCAATGATACAATTCAAGGATTTGGAAAAAGAAAAATAAAATCAAACACAATATTAGTAATGGGAAGAAATAATAAAGACTGGAACAGAAATAAAGAATACAAAGAATCAATGAGTCCAAGGGATGGTTATTTAAGAAGATAATATCAACAGACCTTTGGCACAATTCACCAAAGAAAGAAAGAAATTATCTAAATTGAGTGAATCAGAAATTTACAGGGAAATATTACACAGACATTAGAGTAATTTGTAATATTACAAAGAAATACTTTAAAAACCTGTACTGCGTTAATTATTTAGAAAACCTAAAACACATGGACAAATTTCTACATTCATCCAAAACACTAATGTTAAACCAATAAGAAATGGACAACTTCAACAGTCACATAGGCTCTGTGGGGGGAAAGCCACCACCGCAATTTACCTAAACCAATAGAGTTTCTTATTATAATCCAAAGACGTAACCTTACAGATAAGTCTAGATCTCACCCCCTATCAAATAATCATATTTTTCAATATATAGAGCCCATTATAGAGATTCACAACTTACCAACATGCAGAGAATAAATGCCTAAGATGTGCTCAACCCCACCTGGCATATCTCCAAAATAACCTCTGTGTCAAAGGATCAGGAAAAATCATGGAGCAAGGATCAGAAAGATTGTAAAAGACCAGAATGCCTCTTGCAAAATAGTGTTATCCAGACACAACAGGGAAAACACATGCATAAAAAATCTCAACGATGTGACTGCCTAAACAAGACTTATATAATGGTAACACCAGTTAACACAACATGTGGAGGATGGGGTAATTTCATAAAGCCCCACTCCAAGATCAAGAGCAACAGGTGATCAATGGCTGCTGAGAGAGAAAACCATTCTTCTCCAAGGAATACGTGGGTAGGCTATGCAATCCCACATGGTCATCCTTATGTACATGTTCATAGCAGCAATCCTAAATGGACTCAGCAGGTTGATTGTGCACGCGCGCGCGCGCGCACACACACACACACACACACACACACACACACACACACACACACACTTTATTTATATGTGTAACAATAATAGTTACAGAATAAGAGGTCATGAATTTCAGAGAGAATTGAGGGAGACATGGGAAGCATTGGAGAGGAGGAAAGAGAGGCATAAATGACATAGACACATTTCCCATGAAACACTCAAAAATATTTAAAATTAAGAAAAATGTATATAAAAACTAAAATATGTAAAACCAATAAAATGAATCATTCCATGGCAAATGATGTGATTTGAAGAAACAGTTTGAAAAAGCAATACAAACCTCTCAAAATATATGAAAAAATTAATTTAACATCTATAGAAACAAGAAAATGCAACCCTGAAACTATCTTTCTCACCATAGACAGAGTGGCTACTGTAAAGAAAGCAAAATTCAATGCTGGTGATGTTGTGAGGAGTAAACCCTCAATGTGGGAGTCTCTGTAAACACCAGGACCATCAGAGTAACAATCTGTGTAGGCAAGAAGGAAATCTAGTTTAACATGACTTAGTAGCCCCTGTTGGCTCAAACTGCTAGAGCCTGGTACTGGACAGTTTATTTTAGGCATATTTAAACACAGCATAATTTTGGGGAAAAAACTTTCCTGATGAAATTAACTCAATCCCATGTGTATACAACAAAGTTTCAAACATGTTTACTTTGAAACTCTTTACAAAGTACATGTGACCTCTACCATAAAGATGGGTTCTATTGACTGAAAAAGAATGCCCAAGATAAGGGTATAGGGAGAATAAGGGAGGTAAACATAAAGTCTGTGGAGTCAAGTGTGACCTGCCCTACAGGTAGCACACAGGTCACCTAGGCTCTGCTCATTTCTTAAGTATGTGTGACATCTCCCATAAAGATGGGTTCTATTGACTGAAAAACAATGCTCAGCTAAGGGTCTGGGGAGAATGAATGAGGTGAACATAAGTGTCTGTGGGAGTCAGGAGTGGCCTGGCCCTGCAGATAGCACAGAGGTCACCTAGGGTATTGTAAAGTACACGTGACATCTTCCATAAGGATGGATTCTATAGACTGAGAAATAAAACTCAAGATAAAGGTCTAGAAAGGAAGAGTCTGGGATGAATGTAGTAGTCTGGGAGGTTCAGGTGTGTCCTGGCCCTACAGATAACACAGATCACCAGAATGTTAACTCCACCCATTCCCAGCTTTTTGGGTGGAAAACAGGTATACACCTCCTCCACTGAGAAGACATCCCTTCCTGTTTAACATTCCTGGTTTCCCTAATGCTCATCTATGAGCACAAGGACCTTGTGCTCTCTACACCTCATACACTGTGAGTGAACCTACAACCTAGTACAACCACTGCACAAGTCAGTATAGAAGCTCCTCATAGATTACAAGGTCAAAGTACCATATGATCATCTGTGAAGAATATATAAAAGGTATCTGTGTCAGTACACAACACATATGTTCACAGGCATGCTGCTCATTTATGTGACTCACAATCAAATGAGTCCATCAGCTGATGAATGGATAATCAAAATTGAGTCAGAGAATGTTATGGGCATGGAGAATGTCACCTTTCACAAAGAATACCAGACTCAGACACACAGCCGGGCACAGTTTCTGTCATGTGTAAGGGTAAAACAGAAACACTGCCATGTAGATGTTGTTCCATTTGGGAAGAGGAAGGGTGTAGCAGAAGAACAGATGGAGAGAACAGGGCAGGTAGTGAAGGAGATATTCAAGTACATGATGCATGTGTATGAACACACTGTAAAGAAGCCTGTTGTTTTGTACAATTTACTCACAGACTCTATGTGCCAATTATATTTCAAAGAATATTTCAAAAAATAGTCTCTAAGTCATGAAAGTAGTGAGGGATAAACAGGAAGAGAAGGACACAGGAATGAGGACACAAGAGAGCTGAGGTGGCAGTGGGAGTAGGGAATATGGTCAAAATACATGATATGAAATGTCGTAAACTTATTACTTTGTACAATGAATATATACTAAAAATATATTTGGTGGCCAAGTTTAGCTGTAAAATTGCTGAAATATACCTTTAATAACAGTGGGTCCCAGGACTATCACTTTTGTGTGTGGGGGCTGGGCATGCTGGGGACATGTGCCTGGCTAGTGTTTTGGGACAAAGCTACACCATGACATCCTAAGGTCCCAGAACATCCTCTTTTCAGTAACTGGGTGTGCATTTCCTCTCAGCTTTGCTATCTGTATTTCAATGTTAGTTAACCCTCAATATTAAAAATGGAACTTTGAGCAGTTTTTACTCACCTGGTAACTGAGTGGTATGCATGCACCCACTCCCTTCCCGCTAGAATCCTGATAGTCACAGCATATATGCATCTTTACCTGTCCTGGTACAGGCTTCCCATAGGTATATCTGTTACAAGACAGATTCAGAGAAACCAATGGTCAGCCTAAAGCAGAGACCCACAGTCGTCCCACCCACAGTCCACACTGTCAATCTGTAACTGTAGATTGGCACTGTGTATTTTCACACTGACAACAAATAGGGCCCATTACTACCAATTGACATGTTCTATTTAGATATATTAACAATTTAGCCCTGTTAAGAACCTCTGGGAGACATGATTTTCTCCCTGTTCTAGTTCTGAAAAGATTATGTGACCCAATCAGGATCCTCAGCTAGTAAATGATGGGGCTGTGATGAATGGAGACCATGACTAAATGACTCAGAACCATTCTAACAGACCTCCTCAAACTTTTGCCTTCTTCCCATCAGTTTTTCTTTTGAGCATGTTTATTTTAATGACAAGCAGATGTGAGCCAGGTGTGTCTCTTCTGTTTGATTCAGGTACATTTGCAAATTCCTTCTAGCACGGTTTGACTTACTGGGGTTCCAGACTTTAATAGCAACTTCAGTTGCTGTGACACAGGATCCACATTTATCCAGTACAGAAATGCAAACACAAAGTGAGATGTTTAAAGGTTAAACTTGGGCAGCAGTGGCTGGAACAACAACCGGATTGGGAGCTCTTGTTTCTCTGTTCTTTCTCTCAAGCCATAACAGGTCAGCAGAATGCTGTGTTTAGTGCCTGTGTTCTCTTCACATGGGTCAGGGGATCTTTGTAGGTACCATCCTGTCTCCAAAGGCAGGAACTCTCTACTGCCTCATACAACTGATTTATCACTGGTGTGATCAGAATTGACATCATCAACATATGCAATGAATGATCAAGCAGTAATGGATGCAGAGCAGTGGGGACTGAGGAAGAAATGAACACCACAGGGGGATCATTCTAGGAGGAAGGACAACCTTAGCATTTCTACATATTCTACAATGACACGTTATCCCAGGTAGCTTTTGTGTCCATGTACATTCCAAAGGATGGAAGATTAAACACAGGTAACTCACACTCCACACACAGTCACGTTTACTTTTTCATCTTGCACAGAGATGACCTTTGGGACCTTTACTTGAACTTCAAACCTGGGAAGCACTATTGGGAGAGAGAAGAGAAATTCAGGTGGGAAATAACATTTCTCGTTGCCTTAATGATCATCCTTTGCCAAGAAATGGTGACTTCACATTATTAAGGCTACCCCCTCCCAGTAAAGATAGAATGTTGAGTGGTGATAGATTGTATCAGGATAGGAAAACCATAGAGGTATCTACTTAAATGAGAAAAGCCAAGTAATTTACTTCCGAAAATCCCAGAAATTTCTGGAAGTTCCAGGTTGCTAGGTGGATAGCCTTAGCTAGAGTCAGATGAATCTCAGCCTTACCCATTGAACTCAACATGTTCAAAACAATTTATCCTATGATAACCAGAACCTAATGAATCTACTTTCCCTTTTCAATCTTCCCAAGCCATACCAAATTCCTCCACGGTGAAGGAGTGTTCTTTCTTCACTCCTGATTGTTTCACTATCACTATCTTGTAGGAGCCCTGAATAGGCTCTGATGACAGGCTGAAGGACAGCTGCTTAAACCCATGCTCTGTATTAACATCCCGCCACTGCATAATTCGATTCGTCTTTGGATCCTGGGAGACAGGTTGTGAATTTTGTAAGTAATAGAGTTTTAATTACATCAACACATCTAAGACCACGTGTTCATGATGAAAGCATCAGGGTAGGGAGGAATAAAGGTTAGTGCAATATAATGAAGCAATTATCCACAATGGTGGAAGGCTGCTGACCCACAGTACTGCTTCAACATTCCAACATTAAGTTACTTTCAGTGGATTTATTTCTCTCTGAATATGAAACAGTTAAGTTTCTTACCTCAATGTAAGCCAGAGGAAACTGAAACAGAAGAGAAAACAGTGTTAGTTTAGAACAGCGGTTTTCAACCTATAGGTCATTATCACTTTGGCAAACTTCTATATCCAAAAGTATTTACATTGAGATTCATAACAGTAACAAAATTATAGTTATGAAGTAACAATGAAAATAATTTTATGGAGACCCATCCTGAGCCTTTACAGTATGGAGATTACAGAATTATTGTTCAAATCAGGAATATTTAGTGTGAAATGGGGTTACTAGTTTTAAATATTATATCCAGCCAAAATGTTTAACTTGGGGGGATGTCCTGGGCAAGCTACATATGCTGCTCTACCCAGGGCCCTGGCCCCCCTCCTCATCTAATGAGACACAAAGGCATTAGCACATGAACTCAATACACACCTCCTGGACGTAGTTCAACAGAGCAAACCACTGTCTAACCATTGCCCAGAAATACGAACAAAGAGAGGGCTCAGTAGCTGCTCTTGCTTCAATGGAGAATTGCTGATGACTAAGGCGAGGGTTGCATGTTCAGAGGTTTTACAGGCAAAGGGTTTCTGATCAAGTAGATGGAGAATACAGTAAAGACAGACAGTGACAAGGTCACTTAAGGTTCTGTCATAACTGAAGAGGTGAATTTCCTTCAGGTGAGCATCAGCTTGAGGAAAACATAACCATTTCTAGCAGTTGAAGAGAGACCCGCAGTGGCAGTTGTAAGGGAATTTTAGTGAGACAGAACTTGTTTCTGAAAGTCTAGAAAAATAAATCATGATAATGGATGATGAAACTGTGGTACCTGTATACACAGTGAAAGTTTATTCATCTGCAAAAAATGAAATCACAAAATTTGTAGTCAAATAGATAAAATTTGGAAAAATTATAAAGGTAAGCCAGGCTCAGAAAGATAACTGCTGTTTGTTCTTTCTCATGTGTGGCTCCTCACTCCAAACCCGGAGTACTTGTGGACTCAAGGTAAGTAGAAGAGGACCATTGGGTGGGAATCCCTCAAGGCAGGGGACACAGCATGACATAGGGAATGTCAAAGCACAGGTGCACTTTTGGGGACAGAACATTTATTCGGGATGAGGGTGTGGGATGGGAGAGGCAAGAGGGGAGGATGGGAGGGTTAACCCACACTGAGGATCTGTGAAAAAGTCACATGGAAACTTACTGCTTTCTAAACCTATTAAGAAACTTAAGTTAAAAGGAGAGTCAAACAATGCTGATATGAACATAGCTGAACAAGTGCTCTTATGGTGTGGTTGAGCATTTCTTGGGTATATGCCCAAGAGTGGTATAGCTGGATCTTGGGGGAGATTGATTCCCAATTTTCTAAGAAAGCGCCATATTGATTTCCAAAGTGGTTGTACAAGCTTGCATTCCCACCAGCAGTGGAGGAGAGTTCCCCTAGCTCCACATCCTCTCCAGCATAAGGTGTCTTCAGTGTTTTTGATCTTAGCCATTCTGACAGGCGTAAGGTGGTATCTCAGAGTTGTTTTGATTTGCATTTCCCTGATGATTAGGGATGATGAGCAATTCCTTAAATGTCTTTCGGCCATTTGAGTTTCCTCTGTTGAGAATTCTCTGTTTAGTTCTATAGCCCATTTCTTAATTGGACTGTTGGGCATTTTGATGTCTAATTTCTTGAGTTCCTTATATATTCTGGATATCAGTCCTCTGTCAGATGTGGGGTTGGTGAAGATCTTTTCCCATTCTGTAGGCTGTCGCTTTGCCTTGTTGACCGTATCCTTTGCTCTACAAAAGCTTCTCAGTTTCAAAAGGTCCCATTGATTGATTGTTTCTCTCAGAGTCTGTGCTACTGGTGTTCTATTTAGGAAGTAGTCTCCAATGCCAATGCGTTCAAGACTACTTCCTACTTTCTCTTCTAGCAGGTTCAGAGTAGCTGGATTTATGTTGAGGTCCTTAATCCACTTGGACTTAAGTTTTGTGCACGGTGATAGATATGGATCTATTTGCAGCCTTCTACATGTTGATATCCAGTTTTGCCAGCACCATTTGTTGAAGATGCTTTCTTTTTTCCATTGTGCACTTTTGGCTTCTTTGTCAAAAATTATATGTTCATAGGTGTGCGGATTAATGTCAGGGTCTTCAATTCGATTCCATTGGTCCACATGTCGGTTTCTATGCCAGTACCAAGCTGTTTTTATTACTGTAGCTCTATAGTAGAGCTTGAAGTCAGGGATCGTGATGCCTCCAGAAGTTGTGTTATTGTACAGGATTCCTTTGGCTATCCTGGGTTTTTTGTTTTTCCATATGAATTTGAGTATTATTCTTTCCAGGTCTGTGAAGAATTGTGTTGGTATTTTGATGGGGATTGCATTGAATCTGTAGATTGCTTTTGGTAAGATTGCCATTTTTACTATGTTAGTCCTGCCTATCCATGAGCATGGGAGATCTTTCCATTTTCTGAACCAATGACAGAGAAATGGAATGAGATCTACATGAACAGCCTGGACATGAGTGGGGGTAATGAAAGGCGAGGGTCGAGGGAAAGAGAGCTTGGGGGAGCGGGAGATCCCAGCTGGATCAACAACAGAGAGGGAGAACAAGGAATAGGAGACCATGGTAAATGAAGACCACATGAGAACAGGAAGAAGCAAAGTGCTAGAGAGGCCCACAGAAATCCACAAAGATACCCACACAACAAACTGCCGGCAATGGTCGAGAGACAGCCCGAACTGACCTACTCTGGTGATGGGATGGCCAAACACCCTAATTGTTGTGCTAGAAACCTCATCCAACTACTGAGGGATCTGGATGCAGAGATCCATGACTAGGCCCTGGGTGGATCTCTGGGAGTCCAATCAACGAGAATGAGGAGGGTTTATATGAGCGAGAATTGTTGAGACCAAGGTTGGATAAAGCACAGGGACAAATAGCCAAATGAATGGAAACACATGAACTATGAACCAATGGCTGAAGGGTCCCCACTGGATCAGGCCCTCCGAATGGGTGAGACAGTTGATTGGCTTGATCTGTTTGGGAGGCATCCAGGCAGTGGGACCAGATCTTGTGCTCATTGCATGAGTTGGCTGTTTGAAACCTGGGGCCTATGCAGGATTGTTTGGCTTGGCCTGGGAGGAGGGTACTAGACCTACCTGGACTGAGTCTACCAGGTTGACCTCAGTCTGTGGGGAAGGCTTTGCCCTGGAGGAGATGGGAATGGGGGGGGGCGTTGGGGGGAAGGTGAGGGGGACGGGAGGGGGGAGAACAAGGGAATCCGTGACCGATATGTAGAACTGAATTGTATTGCAAAATAAATTAAAAAAAAAAAAAAAAGGAGAGTCAAAAGGAAGAGGTACTGCATGTGTAGATAATGCTGCTCCTGAAGGCCAAGTGTCATTAAACAAATGCCCCAGTTCTAGGCATGAGATAGCGCCTCATGAGTTTCTCGCCAGGGAGGCCCTAGAGACCCCCCAAACAATACAGAATCTTGATGCTCTTCTTGATTGCCCACAATAACTAGTTGATAATATTCTATTGTGGAAGACACCACAAACCTTGGTGGAAGGGTGTAGAGAAATCAAGCTGGTGCTCTGCTAACATCCCCACTGCTGATCAGCTTTCACAATGCCACAAGGAGCTGTGCAGATTGCTGCAGGAGAGGAGATGTCAACGGATTCATCCAGCTGAGAACCCTAGGATGTCTAACACCAACCTGCCACGCAAGATGTGCCCATTGGTACAAGATTGACACAACTTTTATGTGGGTAGAAAACTGGTCTCTGATTGATTTGAATCCTGTCCTGTTGGACTGAATTCATAGAGAGTGCTGAAAACCCCGTCAACAACCCGTGACCGTGGACATCTTAGTCCAAATGGAGAGATGACTCTTTGGTTTAGGTAAATTGTCATGGTACCAAGTTGCCTTTCAAATATGCTAATATTCATGGACAAATACTACACGAAGCTTGAATGAGGGAAGCTTCTCTTGGCTTTGTGACTTGTGTTGATGAGACTAGGCTCTCTCCATTTTCCTCTGATCTCTCTTTGTGTGCCTTATTCCTCACCTTTTGAACTAAGCGGTACTCTGGACAGAAGCTTCTCTTTCCTGTTCTTTTCAAATGCCATGTCTTTATTGTCACCCACTTTCACCTCCAAATACTGAAGACGAGGGTGCAGACACTGCCCTTTTGGAAACAACTACTGCGGTTTCAGTTTCCAAGATCAGGATGAGCCAAGAAAAGGAAAAGAGCCGGGCGGTGGTGGCGCACGCCTTTAATCCCAGCACTCGGGAGGCAGAGCCAGGCGGATCTCTGTGAGTTCGAGGCCAGCCTGGTCTACAGTGCGAGATCCAGGAAAGGCGCAAAGCTACACAGAGAAACCCTGTCTCGAAAAACCAAAAAAAAAAAAAAAAAAAAAAAAAGAAAAGGAAAAGGCACCTGCTGACTTAACAGACTTTAAAAGCATCAACTGAGCCAGGCAGACAGGGGTGGCACATCCTTTAATCCCAGCACTCAGAAGGCAGAGGCAGGCAGATCTCTGTAAGTTCGAGACCCACCTGGTCTACATAGACAGTTTCAACCAAGACAGAATTACATGGAGAAATCATGTTTGTTTGTTTGTTTGTTTTTTAAAAAGAAGTCAATTGAGACTGCAGATTAAGAAAAGTTGTGAAAAAAGAAAATTTTACAAAAGTCCTACATATGATTTCTTTTAATATCATCCTGGATGACCTAGTCTACACGATCAGCAAAGGAAACTAAGATATAAAATCTGTGAGTAATGAAGGAGTATTGTTTCTATCAGCTGAGGGACTAATACTTAGACCGGCCCTGGTAGGTAAACAGACAGGAAGAAAAGCCACAGACAGATAATAGAAACAGTGAAATCCTGGCTTCTTCCTCACACTCCTGACCTATGACACAGGCCTAAAGGCTGCAGTAGGTCTCTCCCTCTAATACCAGGGCACCTCTGCCATGGACCAGCCTGATACATTAAAGGAAAAGACCAAGATGAGTTCACCCTACAGTAATATCTGCTTCTCTGTCTTTGTTCAAGCTGATCCACCCCAATTTAAGGAAGAAAGACCACTCAGTCATCCTCAAAGACCCTAGACCTCAGAGAGAGGCAGGGTTCCCCAATCCCCCTCTGCAGAGGGTCTTCCCACCCATGTGCCTGCTGTGTGTGTTTTCTCAACTCTAATAAAAGCTTTCCTTTACTGGCTGACTCTGTCTGCTGTGCTCAGGATTTTTCCTGCCTTTTAATTCTTTAACTGTCAGAGAAAATGATCCCTATACAGCAGTAGCAAGATCACTTTATAACTGGTACACACAACCTATTGGAATCCAAGATAAATCATTTTTACTAATGAATTCAGCAAGATCAATATGATAAAAAGTGATAGGGTACATAGAAAAAATCTTAATTGCTTTGAAAATTATGGCAGCAAATTATAAATTCTATAAACACCATTCATTAATGAAAACTATGATTGCAGGAATAAGTCAAATAAGAAACTCAGTAGGCCTAAGAAGAACATTGCAAACCATTATGAATTACATAAAGAGAAACATAAAATAATGGGCAGATACATGTGCACTAGACAGAAACATTTGTCATGAAATGATTTATACTCTTTCCAAATCAATATATATGTTATTAATATTTCAATCACATTTCCAAGACTGATTGTAGAATTGCAACCTGATAGTAAAATTTAAATAAAACATCCAGGAGTAGTTGTTGAAATACTGAAGCAAGGATTAATTCAAGGAAGTGAGTTTAACCTAAATAAAATTGAAAGTGCTGTAATCCTTATGAAACCAGGAGGTAAAAGACAGGAGGGAGAGGCAGTTGGTAAAATGCTAGCTGCTCAAGCAGAAAGACCTGGGTTTCATTTGCAGAATCCAGACAAAAAGTGGGTACTTGTTCCCACTGTAGTCCCAGATGGAAAGCAGAAACACACAGCTGTCACTGGGTCACTGGCCAGGCTGCCTAGCCTGATCATACAGCACCAGGCCAGCCAGAGACTCTGACTCAAAACATATGATGTTTGGCACCCAAGAAATGAAATCTAAGATTGTCTTCTGGCTAGCACATACATATGTATACACACACACACACACACACACACACACACACACACACATGCACACAGAATGAACATGTATTACACAGAGACACACAAAGTGCTAGGAAGTGAAACTGGAAACTTTAGTGTCAACAGCCAACAGAGATAGGTAAAGTAGTGAAGAGATTGCTCACCAGAACCGTACACATGTGTGTGTATACAATGAGGAGGGAACTAGAAAAAAATCATCCTGAGTGATTCAACATAGACCCAGAAAGACAAACATGACGTGTACTCACTTATAAACGACTGTTAGCTGCTAAGTTGAAGATAATCACACTACACTCCACAGATCCAGAGAGGCTAGGTAACGAGGAGGGCTTTAGGAGGGATGCATGGATCTCCCTTGGAAGATTTTACAAGTGGACTGGGGGCCAGTGGAGATGGGAGCATGAGAGATCAGGTGGGGAGCAAGGGATTGGGGGAGAGAGTACAGAAAGAGATAGCTGGAATAGGGGGCATTAGAGAGCAATGTGGAAACCTAGTGCAGTGGAAACTTCCTGGAACCTATGAGGGTGATCCTACTGAGGACTCCTAGTAATGATGTATATGGAGTCTGAACTGGCCATCTTCTATAAGGAGGCAAGGCTTCTAGTTGTGGGACAGGGACACCTACCCAGACACAAAACCTTCAACCCACAACTTGTCCTGCCTGCAAGATGTGCTGAGGCAATGATGGCCCAGAGCTTGTAAGAATGGCCAACAAATGACTGGTCTAACTTGAGGGAAAAGATACTAGAGGCAACCCATGGCCCACACTGTCTGGATGGCCAGTAACCGGAAGCCAGACAGAGACCTAGGGTAGAACCAAACATGACCAACCACCCCAACCAATAAAAAAACAAACAAATAAATAAATGAAATGATCCCTAATGATATTCTGCTATACTCACAAGATTGGTGCCTAGCCCAATTGTCATCAGAGAGGTTTCCTCTGACAGCTGATGGGAGCAGATCCAGAGATCCACAGCCAAAAATTAGGCAGAGCTCGGGGAACCCCGCAAAAGAGGGGAGGAAGGATGGTAGGAGCCAGAGGGATCAAGGACACCAGGAGAACATGGCCCACAGAATCAACTAAGCAGGGCTCATAGGGGCTCACAGAGACTGAAGAAATCACAGAGCCTGTGATTTCTGTGGGTCTGAGCTAGGTCCTCTGCATGCATGCTGTGGTTGTTTGTTTGGGGTTTTTGTGGGACTCCTAAGAGTGGGAGTGTGCATGTCTCTGACTAACTTGCCTGCTCTTGGGACCCTTTTCTTTCTACTGGGTTGTCTCATCCAGCCTTGATAGAAGGGGTTTGTGCCTGGTCTTATTACATCTTGTTATGCCATGTACAGCATATATCCCTGGGAGGCCTGCTTTTTTCTGAAGGGACATGAATCTAGATGAGGGAGGGAGACTGAGAGGAGTGGAGGGAGGGGAGGATATGGTCATGATGTATTGTGTGAGAGAACAATAAAAAAAGAAAAAAATCCTTGATAGAATTATACAATAGATTATTGTGATAGGATAGAATCTCTACTCTCTACCAAAGGATGTCTATTGTAATTTGTTATCTGTAAAGAGCACATTAAGTAAAATGGGATGGCTATTTTATTGTTTGTTTTAATTTTTAGCTAGTTCTTTGAGAGTTTTGTACACTGTTTTCTGATGATATTCACCCCTTCCCTTAACTCATACCAGAACTACCTTCCTTCCCTACCCACCTGACTTAGTGTTTTCTCCCTTTTTTTTTCACATTAATTCCAATTTGTGCTTCCCATATATTCTTGGATATGTGGGCTTCCACTGGAGCATAGTTGACTTATCTGCATCTATACTCTAAAGAAAACTGAGTTTCTGCCAGTAGCTATCAGTTAGCAGTAGCACCTCAGTTAAGGGTGGGATTTCATGTACATGTCCCCTCTCCATGCTAAGGTTTGGTCTGGCCTGGTCTGGAATGTGCTTGTGCATGCTAACAGAATTATAAGTTCCTATGTGTGGCTGCCATGCTAAGTCTAGAGGACTGTCTCCTTGTATTCATTCACTACCTCTGGCTCTTACAGTCATTCCTTCCTCTCTGACACAATAATCTATGCTTCTTAGTTGGAGAGGATGTTATTTAGATGTCTAATATGGGCTTTCACATTCTACAGTTAAGCTGTTGATGACTGGAGCCATCACTACTGAGTAAGTTTCACAGAGCAGGAAGGTGCTATGCACACTACCAGAAGGGCAGGATCATTATCTCACCTAGCCGTGAACCCTATAAACTGTGAGAACCACTGGCCTAGCAAGACAAGCCCACTGGTGCAATAGTAGCACAAATGTCATGGAAGTAGACAACCACTCTCTGACTGGATTTAAGTCCTACTACGCAAGATGAAACCCACATTAGACATCATTATAGGGCCAAGAATCTGTGGCTAGACATGCCATAGGACCAGAGGAGAACCCATTATTATTCTGCTGCTAAAGGACATAGTGTTAAACCAACTGATATTGATGTATCTTTATACTTAAAGATCAAAGCATCTCTCAGCCCTGTCAGAGAAGGTGAGGGTGATTAGCACAGACACCCGCCACTTGCTGAAGTGCACAGGACAAGAGACTCTGAAATGCTATTTTATTACTAAGAGAGTCCATTTAGGGAAGGATCTAAATTTTAAATATAAGGTTATATGTGAGAAATACCCCTGTTAGACTAGAAATGAATTTCTTAAGGAAGGCACGAAGTAACAGAAACTACAAAAGAAATGATTGAAAAATGTGATTAAGCCCAAAGGTTCTGTACAGTAACAGTCTCCATGAAGTATAAAGAAATCCAAAGACAGTTAACCAGTAATGGAGTGCAAAACATAAGGAAGACATTGCATGGTCAATGGTAACTGAGTAAGGGGTATAAATAGTAAAAAGAACAGAGTAGAGAAGAAGACCAACTCATACCTTAGCAAGGGGCTAGAAATGAGAATATTTCAGTCACATTGTGTCTTCACAAACCCACCAATACCCACATGTAAAAGACTCACCAACTCATTCAGGGGGCGTAGGTTTTTATCCATAGAGACAACCCGAAACTTGACTGGAAAAGGGAGAGAGAGAGAGAATTTTCTAGTGAGGTCCAGAGAGCCAGGCCCTCTCTGTGCCATGTTCAGGATGGCTTCTTCACTCCATAGCCCGTGATGGACCTTCGTACCTGACTGTCCTGGTTTGTACACGGGTTTGTCTGTCTGGACAAAGACAACACTTTCTTTGTTCTTCACTAGCACCGTACTCTTTTTGTTGAATTCATGTGTCGGTCCTTTGATGTGGACAGAGAGGGACACTTTCTCATCTGAAGCTGAGACTCTGGGGAGCTGAGAATGAGAGGAAAACAAGACTCCTCACCATCAGATCCTTTGGAGTTCTTAGATTTCCTATTTACCTCCTGTCCATCCACACCATGGGAAGGAGATCAGGGTCCCTCAGTTTCTGTTTAAGTGTTATGTGAGGAGGGTATGTCAGAAACAAAGTATGAAAAGAAAAACACATCATTCATGAGTCAATGGAAGCAACAATGACACAGTCGTTTTATGGAATAAATATAATCTTGATTGAAAATTAGATATAACTGTGGATCTAAGGTAGAGTGAAAACTAACATATTGATGGTGGTAGGAACTGCATCTTGAGGATAGGTACAGAAGAAGAAACCCAGCACTTATTCAGGATAGCAACTACACATAGGAGATGTGGTTCTGATTAGATGGAGTGCTAATTGGAAGTCTGTAACTTACTACCAGCAAGTACTACACAGTGGCAAAATCCTTCTTTCTCTGGGTTAGGTTCTTTGAGGAACTTCAGCGGGAAAGCAGCACATGCACAAGTATTGGCTCTTCCTATTTTGGGGTGGGATTATCTATGCTATTTGTTTATTGGGTAAATGTTCTAAGTGTCTATTGTTATGAAGTAGTAGCTGTGTTTCTAGATTAATCTTTTTTAGAAATATGTAAGTATATTATATATGCATCTACACACATATGTACATAAATATAGAAAACAAACAGGGACAGGTATCTAGTACTCACAGTGAAGGAGTCACAGTGGAACATGTCCTTGTCAACCACAAACTCATTGGACAGACTTCTGGTTCCCCAGCTAGACTGCAAGGAGGCCCTGACAGTCACTGTCTCATTCAGATCATATAGATGGAAGCAGATTTTCTCAGGGGTCTCAGTGTAGAGCTGGGAAGGGACCAGCACCATATACTTCCTGGAAAGGGAAAAGTTGAGGCCAGCTGGGGATAGATATCATGGCTGTAGTTTCTTCACAATAATCATCACCATCCAAGACTCTCCAGCCTGAGATGGCAGGTGACAGCATGATACCCCAGAGTGGTCAATTATCAGTGTTTGTAATGGTAATCACTCAGCTTCAGCAGTGATATCCATCAAGGCAGCTTCACATGGCATGCACTACCATCACTGAAGCAGCGAGCATTCAAGTGCTGGGAGGTTTTAAATTTTTTAGATAAAAATCTGGGAGGATAAATTATTCTTTTCATAAAAATTTATCAAGACTGCTCTTGATTACCATTTTTAATTCTCGAAAAATAACAGTACCCTGCTTTTTTAGGGGAGTACCCTTAAACCTAAGACTTATAATGTGACTGTGCAATTCAAAGCAGCATGATTCACATATGCTATACTTGAACATGTGCCAAAGGCTGTCTGTAGGAATTGTTCTCTACCTTTTTCTGGCATTAGAGTTTTTTGTACCCAAACTAGACCAAAATCTAGACTATCACCACTACATCACATAATGAAAAAAAAAATCAAAAGATTGCTTTTATTTTTACCACTTTAAATATATTTTCCTAATTTAAAAAAAATGACAAGAAAAGTCACTCAACAATATAATCCTGATAATATGATTATTTGGGCACCAAATAAAAGTTCTACTTGTAGTTTAATCCAAGGTCTTTGATCCTAACAAGAATGTTGTTTTAAGACACAAACATCCACAGAGTTGCAGTGTGCCTGAATCCTTACCTGTCCCAAGGTTAAACTATAGGCTACACATTTCCAACCCAAAGTGCCAACAATGTAAGTACTTATCTTCAAAGAGATGAAATGGTTTCAACACAGAAAAGTGTTTCTGACCACTGGGGTTTTAGATATTAGTGGTACAGTTGTAAGAGGAATGCTATTCTAAATCACATCACACCTCAGTTTAGTAACACTGATTGCTTTAGAATTGGAAAAATGATATCATAGAATCATGTAATAGTAAAGTTGCAAAACATACATACAATTATTATTTGTTAATTGAAAAGTAAAATGATATAGGGAGGGGTTTGGGAGAAGGAACTGTGAAAGGAAATGGATGGTTTTGATTGGAGGAGGAACAATCCACAGAGGATCTTGGTGGTACTCACGGTTGTCCAGGTGATAAGGAAGCAGAGGCCAGGAAGGCAAGAAGAACTGAAATCAGACATTGCAGAGCCTGTCTGTCCTTCCACATGATGTAGGAAGGAAGGACAAGAAGACAGGGCCTATAAAGTCCTCTTCCCTGCTAGGGTTTCCAGAGACGTCCCCGATACACAGTGCTTTATTTACGAGTGCTCTGCGTAAACAGGAACCTCCACTCTAGGTGTCCAACCAGACAAGTGGAATTTTGCAAGAGTTTTCTGTTAGTGTCACTGTATTCAGTGGTGGCCTCAGCACAACTCAAATAAGTTGCAACAGTCTCAGGAACGGGGCCAGAGTATCTTGGATGGTGTTGGTGAAGGATCAAGGGCACAGAATCTACTTAGTTTGAATTAGAGCAGACTTTCTCAGTCTTCCTACTACCCACCTGTAAATCTTTGCAGTGGGTGACTGTGCTATGATTGTGTGACATTTGCTACCTCACTGCTTCTGGTCACCTGGAATCTAGCAGCACTCCCTGGGAGGTGACAACTCAGTTTCTCTCTTTCCTCATGTGAGAGTCCCTAGAGTAGTCCAGGTTGGAGATTTTCAGTTCTCCTGTTTCTAGTCATTCAAGTATCTACCTTCATGGGTGTTGTGTGTGAAAGGGGAACTGTGGATACGGGGCAAGCTCAAAAACTCACCTACTACAAGTCACCATGCCTGACCCTTCTTTGTTAGAACAGAAGTTCACCAAGTTCATCTACAGGTACAGTTGAGAAACTTTATCTCTGTGGTCTACTAGGAAGTCAAATATAATCTGTGCAGCTAGAGGTGATTGCTTTAAATGATTTAAATACATCAATATTTGGGATACAACTCTGTTCCTTTGGAAGGACATTAAGGTATGAGCTGGGAAGTACATTAGCATTTCTATTCTAGATCACGGGACTGTCCATTTTTGCAAAAACTTACAGCATTGGCTTGAGAGGAAGGAATATCATAAGCTAGAACAACTATAATCTTGAGGCATTAAGTAAAAAGAAAGGACATTGCTGTGGAACAATCCTCTGTACATTGTGAATTGGTTTAATATAATGTGGATTGGTCTGTTGCCAGGCAAGGAGTATAGGTGGGGTGACCAAACTATGGATGATGGGAAGGAGAAGGGCTGAGTCAGAAGTTGCCATCAGAGGCAGAGAGAGCAGAGGATGATTGTGCCATGCTAATAAAGGTACCGCCATGTGGCAGAACATAAATAAGAAATGTGGAATAACTGAAAATGTAAGAGCTAGTTAGTAACAAGCTTGAGCTATTGGTCAAGCATTTACAATCAATATAAGCCTCAAACTGGTTGGGACAAGAAACTTTCAGTTATATAATATGCTGAAGAGGGGATGTAGGGTAAGCATGGAAATCTTGAAAGAGGAAAAAACACTTCTGTATTTCATTGATTGACCTCTGACCAATTAATCATCAAAAGGAAGCCTCAACAGCTACTGAACTGATCCTTTTCATCCAAATTCCACTGAAACAATAACTACAGTTTTTCACCTTCATTTTCTTCTTTTTATTTTGGAGCATGACAATGAATGGCTTTAAATTTATCAGATGATTATAGAAGCAGCAGATACAGAAACATAAATGAGTCCTAACAATGCAGGATAGTATCAGATGGCAGGGCTTGTCTGAGATTGTGCATAACCCAGGCTCAGACCTCACAAGATGACTTTCTGTTAGAGAACAGACATGCTACAGTGATTTACTTAAAGTTTTGAGTCAGAGGAAAAAGTGGAGTACAGATCTGAATCTTGATAAAGCCTGTGAAAGGTGTGGAGACCAGGAAAGCATTGACATGTCTAAAATGGAAATATTTCATTGGAATATTGATGCTGCAATAAAGCTAAGCTTAAATGAAGAGGGCCTATGGGAAGGACTTGGAGTATAACCTAAAATGATTTAAATAATTAAAGGATATAAAGACTTTTCTATTGAACATGATAACTTATGTGGTAGCTTGAGAGGATGACTGAAAACCTAGAGACCCCACTGGATGACTGTAGTAGTTATCTAGACATGCTGTGATGATGGTGTTTCAAACTGAGAGACTAGGAGTTAGACAGACCCCCTGGTAGGTAGACAGATCGGGAGATGAGTTATATCTAGGAAATAAAGGTGGCAAACCTCCAAGATAACTGACATCTTCCTTACTGTGATGGTTGAATAATAATGGCCCCCATAGGCTCATATGTTGTGGAGCTTAGTCACCAGAGAGTGAACTGTTTGAAAGGAGAAGGTGTGATCTTGTTACAGGAAATTTGCCACTGGAGGTGAGTTTGAAGTTTCAAAATCCTATGCCACCAGAATTTCCCCTCTGTCTCTCTGTCTCTGTCTTTCTCTCTCTGCCTATGGATCAGGATGTAGCTCTCAGTTACTTCTCCAACACCATGACTCATGCATGTGGCCATGTTCCCTGCAATATGATAATGGACTAAACCTCTGAAACTGTAAGCAAGAAATTGGTACCAGGGGTTGGGATATATCTGTGATGTGCCTGGCCATGCTGAGTTGACATAATGTGAACTTTGGGACTTTGGAATAGAGAAGTGGTTGAACACTTTAAGGGTGCTTACTGGGCTATCCTAGTAGGAACATGTGCTGAGGTCAATGTAAATTATGGCAGCCTGGGTTAAGAAGTTTCAGCGGGGAAGGATATTAGTAAGTGACCTAGAAACCATTCTTGTGATATTTTGGAAAAGAATAAGGCTGCTTTTTGCCTCTGTCTCAAAAATCTGCCTGAGGCTAAATTAAAGAGTTTTGAATTAATGGTGTTGGCAAAGGATATTTTAATATAGCCTAGTATTGACTCTGTCATGTGGTTAATAGTAATCACTCTTATGCAGACCTATCATGAAAAGGAGAAAGCTGGACAAAGTGAAACACAAAATGTCTACTTGAGGAGAAAAAGAGCACCAAGAAACATAATGGAACAAAATCCAGTGTTCAAGGAGATTAAAAAAAACTTTAAAGAAAACCTGGTGTTAAATGGTATAAGGGGACTATTTACTTCAGGGCAGTACCCTGCCAAGTTAAACTTCCAAACTGTGAAAAGGAATTAAAGAAAACCTTAAGCAGTGAAAGAAACTATCAACAATAGAAAGCTGATGCAAACAGAATTGAAAGAAGGGACCCAAGTGCCAGCCCCATCAAGCAGCAGAATTTGGTAGCATCAGTCACACGGTTTGATCTCTAGAGTCAAGAATACAAGAAAGGGGTTGTAGAATCTTCCTCCATGGCTAAGGAGAGCCACTAAGGCATGTGTCAGGGGTATCCCTGCATGGAGGCCCAGAGAGGCCATTGTGTGGAGCTGTGAAGGTGAAGCCTGGATTGCCTTGGAGACACCTGTTACAGAGTTCAAATACACTTTAGAAGACCAAAGACTTAATTCAAAATATCATTAAATGAATTTTTTAATTACTACCAACAGGTCAATAGCCTTTAACTCAAATCTAAGACATGTTATGCAGATCTGTCTAGAGGAAGGGTTCTTAAAGGTGCACAACACAACTATCTCAATTGTGTGAAGTGTGAAGCTGAGTGAGAAACTGCTTTTACTCTCCTCAACTTTAGAACCTCTCTCTATCCTCCTGTGTACACTCATAAAGGAGCTGTATCACTTCATGATACACACCCAAAAGTGGATTTTAAAAACCAGCATAACTGATTAATTATCTCATAGCATTTTTTACAACTTTGGGGTGGGGGCATGGAATCGGAGTTACTGGAAGCTCATCTTTTAGAAAATTAGAATGGGTTGCTAGCACAAAGTGAAATTTTCCTCTTTTAGGAATTTAGAATGTGCTTCTAGTGCAAAAGGAGTTTTTCTTAGCCATCACAAACAAGGATGTTGGTGATGTCAGAGTCATGGGTACCTGGAAAGAAGATGTGCACATCTGATGTGAAACCAGCCCAAGACAGAAGTGTGTTGTCGTCAATAAAGCTGAAACTTTGGAGACCTGAAGAGCACTTTGACATCACACATGGAGATTCAGAATATGGAGATGGTCCTCCTAGTTTTTGGTTATGATTTGGTTGAGTATTTCTTCACTACACTCCCTTTCCTCCCTTTTGGAATCATAATGTATATTTTGTGCCATTGTCTGTTGGAAGTATGTGACTTGTTTTTTTCATTTTCATTTTGTGAGGATAGCATTCAAGAGATTTCCTTGAATCTCAGAAGAGACTTTGGACTTTTAAACAGTGTTGAGACTGTGATAGATTATAGGGATTTTTGAAATTGCACTGAATGCATTTTTGCATGATGATATGACTGAAAGTCTATGGAGGCCAAGGAGCAGAATGAGGTGATTTAATAAGAATGCTCCCTATAGTCCCACATATTTGAATGATTAATCACCAGGCACTATTTGAAAGGATAAAAAGAATTAGGAGGAGTGGCCTTGTTGGAGGAAGTGTGTCACTGGGGTGGGCTTTGAAATTTCAAAACCCCATGCCAGGCCCAGATCTCTCTCTCTCTCTCTCTCTCTCTCTCTCTCTCTCTCTCTCTCTCTCTCAGTGTGTGTGTGTGTGTATGCATGTGTCTGTCTGTCTGTCTGTGCATCTGTCTCCCTCCCTGCCTATGTATCAGGATGTAGCAATCATCTACTGCTCCAGCACCTGCCTGTGTGCTGCCATGCTTATCTCCATGATGAAAAGGGACTAAGCCTCCGAAACTGTAAGCGAGATCCTAATTAATGCTTTCACTGATAAGAGTTGCCTTGGTCATGATGTCTCTTCACAGCAATAGAACAGTGACTTAGACACTAGCCTTTGACTTCTAACCGTGACATCTGAGCTAACATCTACTGATGAAAAAAACCCTCAAAGAACATATCTCAGAATCAGAGAATGGCACCCTCTGCCCCCTGAAGCTAAGGATGCTGCACATCTAACACCTATAAATGTAAAGTCCCCCCCTTGTTGCAGCTGCCCACAGATGGTCCCCTTTATATTCTGGGAAGTGTATTCTAATCACTCTTCTCATTAATGTGATAAAAACCTGAGAACAGCAGCATGAGTAGGGTTCCTTTTGGCTCACATTGAGGGCACAGTCTG